TTCTGTGAGGGTGTGGTACTTCCCCGGTCGAGCCGGCCCATTCATGCTGCAATACCATATAGGATTACAGCGTGGCTCTACCACAGTAAAAACCCTTCAAACCGAAACACAGCCATGCAAACACAACTGCTTCACAGCAGAAACACGAATGGGACAGAGGTACCCAAGCAATCGACTTTTGTACAAAGTCTCCCTCTGGTGTATAAAGTCTCCCTCTGGTCAGAGATTTAAACTGTAATGTTATTTCTAGTTAAATCTTTTTTATATTATTCCTTTTATTTATGCGTATTATACCTTTTTTATATATGTTATTGTACTGATGCTTTCCTGGGTGAGCGTATTGGGAGACTGTATAGCTTATCCAGTTAATGTTATAAATAATTAAGTTCAAAACAGTTGTGTTAATGCTAAGTCAAGTTCTAATGTGTATTACAAAAATGAATGTTTCTTCATTTTTGTTAAATGAATGTTTCTTCATTTCTTATAATACAATTATATATATGGGGATGAAATAAGAATCATTAGGGTCGATTTTGAGTTACCATTCTCTACACTTATTTTCAAAATAAAAATTTTATTTGTTTAGTAAAACTATTATTTATAATATGGACTATCGATAATTAAATGTAGGTATCTAATGCCGTTTTGATGCAATTCTACTAAAAATTTTGTTGGTGCCACTTTTTAGAAGAATCACTTTTATTGTTAACTATTACACGTAAGTTAAACCGGAAGTTATTATATTAAAATAATTATTTTGCTGTAATGTTAATTTGAAACAAAATTTTTAATTTTAGAATTTAATGTGTTATTATTACTCCTTATTATTCCTAGGATGTCTTAACAGGCTACTAAGAGAACGAAGCACAATAAACAATGCAATAGGAGGAAAACTGGAAATGAAGCAAACTATGACGTTAATGGGTGGTAAAAATGCATGATACAATTTCAATGAATGAAAAAGTCCATTAGTTGGTGAAGTACCATTGAGAGATTAAATGTATAAACGAGGATGATGTCTAGTCATTTAGTCCATTAGGAATTAACCACAATGTTTTTTAAAGCGATCGCATAAATATCAAGAGAGAGGGTATTATAGTTAAGTCAGAATAACCATTTCTTTTTTCAAATTAGACAATTGGTTCAAATCAGCAGATCATAATACGAATAAAATTGATAGATGATTATATTGGTATCATAATATTAATGCTTATCTAACTAAATAGTTTTATAATTATAGTTGATTATCTACTTATAAATTCTTCTTAAAATTATGTAATATACAAAGGCATCAGGCCCTTCGTTTAGAAGTTACGACGAGTACAAAAATGTTAATAGTAACAAAGATGCTGCAATGTGACTGTACAGCCTTACTCTTAATATTGCTCTTCTATTGGTCCAAGTACCAAATTAAAATATTAATTTATCTTTCTATTCGTAAACGCGAAGTCGGAGCGGGTCCCGGCATAGAATAGTAGAATAGATGTCGTAAGAAGTAACTAATGAGTAAGAGATTGCTTAGCGATAAGACCGCCTTTTGTATCATTTCTTATTACAGTTAAATGTGTTTACTATTCTATAAATGGTGCAATAAAGTGTACATAAATAAATACATAAATAAATAATGTAACTTAATTGTCGAGGGATGGACAGCAGCGTCCCTCTTAAAACATCAACGCCTAACTGCGGCTGCCAACTCGCTTGCCAAGCGTGGCAACTGCTGGTAACCCCCTTCCCCCTCTCTCCAATATAGGGAGGCTTATCTTCAGTTCAGTGGACAATTAACGGCTGATATGGTATGGTACGCCCAAGCCGCGAAAAATAACTTGTTATCCAATAAATTAACATAATAGTTATCCGCTTTTATTTATTGACGATTTAATCAGCAGTTGCTTCTTAATGTATTATTATAAGATATTTTATCTTATAAGTACGACGCGTCACTTTATTCATAGTTTATCGTCATGTTAGTAAGTAGACAGTGGATAGTAATGCCAGTGAGATATTTTGGGAAAAAATGTTTAAGGTGAGTTTTAAATTGTTCTAATAATATTCGTAATTAAATAAATAAATATATATAACAATGGAGTTTAAAATGTATATATATATATATATATATATATATATATACATATATATATATATATACATTTTAAACTCCATTGTTATATATATTTATTTATTTAATAAAATATATATATGTAAATGTTATATATATATATATATATATATATATATATATATATATATATATATATATATATATATATATATATATATATATATATATATACATTTACATATATATATTTTAAACTCCATTGTTATACAGGTCAATCCGTTATCTTTAATTTGATTATGGTGGACCACCTACTATTCTACTTACTACTATACTACCTACCTACCTACTATACTACTATTCTACTACTTATCTGTTTTACTACCGAAATATGAACAATATCTAGTTTAAGTTACATTATCTACAGTGATTACTAGCGATGCTAGTTGAGAATGAAGTTGTTGGCCTTTTGTTACGAATCAAGAATTAACCACAATCGTTGCCAGTGGAACAGCGTGGAGTTGGATCTAATGTCCCAACTCTTAATTAATGATCCTTTTTCTCTAGATATGTCGTAGGTAAGATACGAGTATATACAACACATATTTGTGTTTTAGTTAAGTCCAACTTAATAAAAAGTATAATTCAACCTTACAGTAATGAACTTCATTTGTCTAATAATTTAAATTTCTCTTTTTTTAAATATAACATCAACTATTGTTTAAAAAAAGCAGCAGTTGACTTTCTTGTCTGTTTTTCTCAGCTGAAATTACATTCCGAATAGGCGGTACAATCATAAAAAAGTGTATAAAAAATAATTATTAAGTTTACTTGGATAAAAAATATTCCAGTACCTATTTATCAACCTACAAATTAGGGCGAAAAGGTTTCCTTGCGGTTCTCCCTGGAAACTATCGTGTACAATAAAGAACGTCGTGATTTATTCATTGGTGAATTTATCATGATTGGCTAACTGATCTGCTTCATCTTTACTTATCATTTTGTCTTGTAAGGCGCTGCTCTATACTGCGTTTGAGTGTGCCAATTATTTATCGTTTTATTTACCGACATATATATTTTTATGTCGTGTCCCTTCTGTGGTAAGCAAACACAATTAAACGAAAACACAATAATAAAAAGTAACAATATGACCAAAAGTGATTTTTTTATATAGCCGAATATAAAAACAAAAAAAATATCTAATTATCTATTTTTCTAATCGTCATCGTAACCATATCAATAATATAAACAAGAAATTAATTACTCTTATGCAATCTTATTTATTATGATGTAGGTTATTGCAAATATTTATGTTTTTGATTAATTTGACGATTAATAATATTAATAGATCTCACTGTAACAACGACCATTTTAATGGTTGTTTTGTTCATACAATCCTCGGGTTATCACGGTGTCACACGTATGATGTCTCAAGTTGAATAACAACTGATAGTCTTTAATGGTCATTTGACAGGATCACTTCTCAATTTGGTACTGATTACTGCACCATGGTGGCACAACCAATAGAGGGGACACAGATAGCAAGGTACATTGATATTTTTTTTTATTTCATGACATCTGATTATATGTGGTGTAGGCTGTTTACGATTTAGCTATTTTGCCACTCCGACCAAAAATAATTATTTGCCGCCATTTATGAAAAACTAACTCTTTCTCGCGGCTTCGCCCGCGACATATCTTTACTGATATTATAACTGTTTTAAGTTGACTAGCTCTAGAGGGTTTGTTTTGTAAAACCTGTAATTTTTTCTGTTCCTATACGTTTTATCTATCTGTCAAACTTAACTCAAAAAATTTCATCGTAATTGAAATAATAAATAATGCCATCTGATGTTAAGGCCGCTATTTATATTTTTTAGGTGTATTAAAGTTTAATAAATAAATAAATACCCAAACTTTGTTACGAACCTCTACACAGAAGTAAAACTTCTATGAGTCAAAATTACGATAGTTTATGTACGTATTTTTATGAGGGGAAATCCCGCATGGGACCTAACTTATCTTGGGGTAGACGAATATTACTGTCGGATTTCTAGCGGCTAAAGGCCCACGATGCAATGTTCCGCCGTTTAGTGTTGGGATTATCTTTCTGTTTTCGCATTTTACCATATTCACCTTACCGACTAAATGGTAAGGGGACAAGGGACTCTATTTATCGTCCAGTTTTAAGGAAGCTCTTACGTATTTTATGAAACACGAAGCAAACTACGATTAATTGAAAGATGTATAAAGGTTTTCGACTTGGATGTTTAGAGTTCTTACAATCTGTAGTTTCTGAACTGATGGAATATAGTAACAATCATTTAAAGATATGATCAGCATATTAAAAAATCATTGTTATTAAAAAACACACCATGATCATATTTTTACATGACTTCCATTCTTGATTCGATACGATTTTGTATTTCTACCTCATTACTTTCCTTATTTTGTGATTAGACATTTCATTATGAATTAATCTTTAATACAATATGTATAGCTAACATTACCAGCATTTATGGTTGCCAACACATGAAAGATAATGTGGGTGGCGTAGTATATCAGTTCACCAGAGGGAGACTTTGTACAAAAGTCGTTTGTTTGGGCACCATTTCTGTTTCTACCGTGAACCAGTTGTGTTTGCATGGATGTGTTTCGGTTTGAAAGGTAGGATACGGCAGTGAATTTACAGGGTACAGAGGAATAATACCTAAGTCCTCAGGAATGGCAACGCATGGGAGGTATCACGGGCGAAACAGTATACTCTGTTATGTCCATGGTAATGCTCATATTTATTGGCGATGGTTACCACTTTCTTCTAGGTTCACTTTTAAAAAAAAGTTATACAGCATAATATGCTGTTATGATAGGAATTTATACCAATCCAAATATTTATTCAATTTAATATGTAACTCTGAAAGTTCTCTTCTTTTTAATACAGCTCTATACAAGATGATCTTCGGCGGCAAGTCACAGAATTGCGTTCCCGCAATCCAAGTTTTGTGCCCAAGTTGGCTATCGTACAAGTGGGCGACAGAGAAGACTCCAACGTATACATCAGGATGAAACTAAAGGCTGCTGAAGGTATAGGCATGAGAGCGGAGCATGTGCGCTTGTCCAGAGACATTACGGAATTAGAGGTTAGTATTCTTTATTCTGCCTGTGGGTGTCGTAAGAGGCGATTAAGGGAGGGTAGAGATGGGCAGCAGCGTCCCTCTTAAAACATTTTCAAAGCCTAACTGCAGTTGCCAATCAGCTTGCCAAGCGTGTTAATTACTGTAAAAACTCCCTTCTGGACAAGGCTTATCTTCAGCGGTGGAAAGTTAACGGTTCTTTATAAAACGTAATTGAATAGCATCCGTAAGTAAATATATAAATGCTAAGAAAATCGTAACTGTTCTGAATTACGCTTCTAGAGTATCTAGTGTGAATTGCGTAAAGTTTTACGTTACTATCGCGTGCGCATTTACGTAGATAATTAGTACAGTAAACGCAATTGCGCCCCACTAGTAGATAGTTTTAGAAATTCAAATTATAAAGCCTTACTTAATTCCTAGCCTTTCTTTTCAAATGTAGGGTACCTATTTGAATTAAGATGACTGCTAAATAATGTATTCATTTGATGTACGTACTTGATAAATTTGATAAATGTACATATCTCGATATTTTTCTTTGTTTTTAATTTCGTGGTTAAATTAAAATAAAATTTTTAGTAACCTTTGGCAAATAGTTTTGATTAGGATCTTTATAGATTTGCCTTTAATTTCACATTGAAAAAATATTACTATTCATTATTTATATTCATTCAACATATTAATATTTAAATTAATGAGATTTGCCAACTTCAATTGTTATAAAATTAATCATAATCATCGTCATCTCAGCCTTTAACTGTCCATTGTTGAACACAAGTTTCCCTTTGAGGGGTTTTGCTAGTAGTTGCCACGCTTGCCAGGTGGATTAGCAGTTAAGCTTTGGAGATGTTTTAAGAAAAACTCTGTTGCCCATTCCTCGCTCTCCTTCAGTCGCCTTTTACGACACACACGGGAAACGAAGAGTGGTTCATTCTATGCCGGGACTACACGGATAAAATTAAATATGTGACCAATACTGGAGTAAACCTCGTTGACTGCAATAAGAATTGTGAAAATCGATTCACGAGGATATAATTAACAGTAATAGGTCTGTAATAGGCCAATTGAATAAGTCAATATCAAACATTCATTTGGCGTGTAAACATTTAATTATTTTTGTAAACTTTTATGCAACGACATAAACAATCAAAAATCTTTTTATAATTTTATCTAACTGTAAGAATCAGTTTTATTATATAACATCGGTAGTTTCTTTTTCTGTTCTTATCATTTGTTGTTTTTCTCCCCGTATGTATTCGTATTAAAATCAGCTAGCTAATAATTAAAATTTATTGTTTCTTAGTGAGTTATGTACTTATAACTTACAATAATGTGTTATCATTTAAATAAATGAATATAATAATAAGAAGGAAAACAAATAAATATTTTGTTTCTTTCTTACGTTGTTGTTACAGACCTCCAACCCCCATCTTTCGTGATAAAACAGACATGAGTCTATTGATAGAATTATTATCGCTAGCGAGTCCATGATATAGAATGGGATGGTGGCTTGCGCTGTCTTGTTCTATCTTATGTGCTTCGATATCAATAAAATGCAATTGATAACAATGCTTTAGATTTTACAATAATTAAATATATAGATAGTAAACATTACGGCCTGTATGAACTCTAAGCTGAGCTCTTTTTAATGGCGTCTTTTGGAGCAAAGTTCTTGCCTTAGGCATTGAAAATATATATAATTATAAATACGTGGTGCCTAGCATGAGTGTTTACGTTTGATATAGGTACTATCCTATTTTTTATAGCGTATCACTTGCGGAGAATATAATTTATGAGACAGTTCGGGTGTTATCAGGCTAGCACTGTCATAAACTTCCTTTTTTTTTTTAACAAGAAATGGGTATTTATCACTGAGTTGAACCAGGTTTGTGATATCTATTTGGATATTAAAAACAAAGTTAAAAAAGAGATTACAAATCCTCTATATTTCTTTGCGTTATGCGATCGTCTTTTTTTTTAAATAGATTAAATAAAATTGGTACAGAATTTAAACTAATAAATAATAATAGTTATTAATAATAGTAATTAATAATAAATATGAGTCATTATGAATGAATGACAGCCCACGGTATCTTGTGTTTGTAACTTTGTGTTTATGTTGAATTCTATTCTTAATCATAATTATTATATATGTATATATCTTGTATTTTCATTTACGTAGGCTGACTCATGTTTTAAATTCGGAGACATCTGACTACTTTAGATTATATAGATAGGGCATCCAGTCTTAAAAACAGGTCAACTTTTTGTCACCTAATTATTAAATTAGCTGACTCCTTTCTTTATTCAATGTTCTATATACTTACACACATAATGTATTTCTGTATATCTATATTTAATTATTTTATAAATAAAATAAGTCATTACGCATTAAAAAAATGCAAAGAATATAAATTAAAATAAATATAGAAGTTATAACGGAAACATAACTATTTATCACGCAAAATTGTATAAAAAAGTTGACACGCTTTTTTCAAAGCATTTGTAGAGAGACACTTATCTATGTAATCTAAGCTGACTACATAGTTTCGAACTAATTAGGAGTCCTAATTTATGAGCGCGGTTTATGACTGTGTCGCGAGTAGGTACTACTCTTAGTGAGTAAAGCTAACATAAATAATTACAATAGTAATTAAATCCTATTTTATTGCTTTTTTTTTTGAGACTAATATTTTAAAATATTTTCAGTTGCTGTCTGAGATTACAAAACTAAATGAGTCGCCGGCGGTGCATGGAATCATTGTGCAGATGCCTTTGGACTCCGAGCATTCGATCGATTCCCACAAAATTACAGACGCTGTATCCGCTGACAAGGATGTTGATGGGTGGGTATTTATATGGGGATAATTATCTGGGTCTTTTTTTTTTATGGGTGAAAGCGGTATGGTAACCCCGCCTGCGCTAACAAGATACGCTGGCGGAGCACCAGTGAAGAGTGATAGATGAGAATGAAAACAGGCCAGTTAGTCTATCATGATGAATTCATCAGGAATTAACCATGATAGTTTCTAGGGAAAACCGAGAGGAGGTCGACCTGGTTGGGTATATTGCTAGCAATGGGATTCTCAGTCTCTATTACTAACAATCCCTTTCCCTCAATTATCTGGGTCTGTGCAAACTAGTGTGCAGATGAGGGATAGTAGGTAGGTATTTAACTCAACTAGATAGGGTATATTGCTAGCAAAGGGGCGGTTAGACCACCAGTACTAATGATTTTATTCCCGCCAATTTTAGACCGTTGCACGTTATGTGATATGTACAACTGTAATTGTTCTAATTTTGGCAGACAAAAAAGTGGACGTTGAAGACTGAATTTCGTCTACTCAAGTTTTTACATATTTTGAAATATTAAGTAATATACAGTTTGTATATAATCTGTATTTTAGTTATGGCATAAGGAAACTGAGAGGTTTTTTAAAATATAGTAGAGAGTTCAAAATATAATTAACGATTGATAACGACCTCAGTGATTTATTTAAGGATTTATTTAATTACGTATCAGTACGTTAAATATATATTTAAATATACACATTATTGTATGTCAGTATATGTGTTTAAAAAAAGAACAGAGTTTCGTGTCTTCAGTGAAACTGTTTATAATTACTCTTCTCCATCCAAAGGTTGCCTGGAAAAGGTCGCCCATTGTTTTCTCAGTGGAACCTTTTCTTGTAATTGTTCGTATATATAATAAATTTACCATTGTAATATTTTGGAGGAAACAATAAAGAGTATTTATTTTTCCATCTATTTAATACTCAGTTTGGAATTTATAGGAAATATTTGTAAGACAATTTACACAAATAATTTTAGTTATTAACTTTGTCTGAATCAGCTATTAGGTACAATGTCTAAAGTCAATTGTATAAAGTATTAATAAATTCGTCATCAAAAATACATCATACGTACGTTCTGTAAAATGTGTCTACATATAATAATTATATGACAAATAATTGTATTTGTCATATAAATGTTGTTATGTAATGATATTTATAATTAATAGCGTCGTTTAGATTTTGTGCTCCAAGGCGATTTTTAACTGATAAATAGGGAATAGTTAGCCTGACTGCGCTTCGGTATATACTATATGCAGTGCCAGTAAGCATGAAATGAGGTCACTTTGTCCATCGTGGTTAACACACCAGGAATTATCTACGATGGTTTCCAGAGGAGACCGCGAGGAGTCTCCGTTACTAAATTTTCCTTCCTCTAAATATGATTTGTACGTCACTCGTACGCTGATGGTGATACACTGGATACATATTATGTATAAAATTTCATATCAATCGACCGAACGATGCACACCGATCATGTGAAACACTATTATACAAACTGATTTTTATATGTATATAAAATTATGTGGCGAATTGTAAATTATTCTTGCGTGGTTAGTCATTATGTACTATAAATTAATTACGAAGGACTGTCGGTTGTAATATAGGCCGAAGACTATAGGCATCGTAGTTTTTTTTTTAAATTGATGATAATAGAATGGTAACCTTGTTGCGTTATCGGTATAAACTGGCGTAGCTCCAGTGAGGGATGATAGGTGAGGTTCATCCTCAACTCATGTCAGTTAGCCCATTGTGACGAATTCAACAATAAATAAATCACAATGGCTTCCAGAGGAAACAGCGTGGAGGTCGACCTGATAGGATATATTGCTGGCAATGAGTTGGCTAATCCCCATTACTAACAATTTCGTCTGGTAGGTAATCAACCTGGTAGGGGACTAGGTTTCGTAGTAGGCTTGTTCTAATTCTATTCCAGTATAGGTCAAATGTAGCTAATAGTTGACAATACTTACTACAGCTTTAGGTACAATCGTTTTCACATTATATTTGCCAGCTGATTTTATTTATTGAATTTATTAGAAATGGTTTTATTTTGGTTTTGGTAACAGCTTGAACACCATAAACGAGGGTCGTACAGCAGTTGGCGATTTGTCTGGATTCATTCCATGCACACCAGCTGGCTGCGTGGAGCTGATAAAGACGACCGGCGTGCCCATTGTTGGGAAGACTGCGGTGGTTGTTGGTCGCAGCCGCATAGTTGGCACACCTGTATCGGAGCTCCTTAAATGGGAGAATGCTACAGTTACAACCTGCCATTCGAAAACAAAAAATTTGAGTGATATTGTAAGTATTAGTGGTATTAAGTTTTTTTTTTAATGGATGATAATGAAATGGTAACCCCACCCGCGCTTTTGGTTACATTGAAGGAGGGGGTAGGGTAACCAGTAAGGGATGATCGGTGTAGATGAAGACTCTAAGTCCAGTTAGTCCATCGTGACGAATTTGACAATAATTAATCAAAATGATTTCCAGGCAATCCGCGTGAAGGTTGACCCTGACTGTATTGGTAACAATTTGAATTAACGGCCCCATTATTAATAATCCTTCTCACCGCAATATTAATTTAGGTAACCTATGAACTATGTATGAGGTCCTTATTAAATTGCCAATTTTAAATACCGGCTATTATAAAAATCAATATTTCTTATATCTAGATACTTAGAATTCGAAATTGAAATTATTATTATATAATAAATTTTGCTCATTTCGTTTTCCCGCCATTTGATGTTTTTTTTTCATATTATTGTTTCAGTTTGTTTTTGGTATAAACGAATAATTTAAATGAAGTAAAATTTTTTTATTTCGGTTATGGCTCCGACGTAGACTTTACTCATATAAAACTGTAACTTCATAGGTAACAGTAATAAAAGTAAAAGCTTGTGAAATTTTAAATTCTACGTAAGTTTATATTATTCATTGATAAACCATTTGTCGAGTGTTAGTATTGAATTTAAATATATTAGTTAGTATATTATAGTTTTAATATTTACTGTTAGACTAGGTAAATCACAATTTGAGTTTAAATCCAAAATATTATTTGACATAGTTGTTAAGAACATAAATAAGTAGTTTAACATAAAGTAAGTGTAAGTTAATATCTTATATAATATAATTAAAATAAAGTAGAATAGTGTATATTGTAATTTTCTCACAAGTGCAATATGAAATACCTATTATGGATCACTCGGGAGAAACTGCGATTTTTATTTCATGTGATTTGCAGTTTTTGCTTATAGTAGATAAAGAATGTTTTTATTGTAAATGTCTTAGTGATTTTATTTTATTTTTAGACGAAAACAGCGGATATCTTGGTGGTTGCTATAGGGCGGCCGGAGTTGGTGCGAGGATCATGGATCAAACCCGGTGCCGTTGTCATCGACTGTGGAATCAATCCTATATCAGGTTTGTATAAAATAATAAGAACAGCTTCAGTCGCAACGTTATACTCGTATAAATACTTATCTGGACATTGGAATATACCATAATATAAAAGCAGCTTACCTAATATCAAATTTATTGCTATTATAAAGTTTCTAAAACATCGGGTAATGGGAGAGGGGTTTATGGTTTTTTTTACTCACATTTTCGACTATAAGTAAAATAAAAACTATGCAGCATAAATATTTATAAATAGAAAATTGTTTTAAAATGTACAAATTAAGCCCTTTCATATGATACTACCATTTGGACTAGTAGGTGAATTTAGAAATTTTGAATATCTGTTTTGGACCTAGCAATAAAGTGAAAATATTTTTTGATTTTATTTTATTGGAAATTGATTATTAGTAGTTGTTAAAATATACCGCTGTGACAGACAGACAACGTCCCAGTATAAGGGTTCCTTTGTACCTTTTTGGTACGATACCCTAAAAAGGGTCAGAGAGTAAAAAGTTATATGCTTTTAATTGCTGAATATATTTCAATGAGAATCGTGGCGTGCCTAGTACCTAGTCCCGGTGTCTGAAAAAACACGGGCACAGGGTGTTTGTAGGGAGTTTGTTGTGGTGTGGCAGTCGGCGGTCTCTAAACCCTATCTCCGTATGCGTTGCACCATAGGTAAAGCTGGCACTAGGCAAAAGCCTAGTGCCAGCTTTACCTATAATATTAATATTAACATAACTATTCTGTAAAAACAGAATAGTTATGTTAATATTAAGTCCCAGCAAACATTATTTAGAGAGGACAAAGAGATTGTTAGTAATGAGGTTTAACAACCTCATTGCTAGCAATACATCCTATCAGGTCGACCTCCACGCGGTTCCCCATGGAATTCATAGTGGTTAATTTGTGTTCAATTGGTCTCTATTAACCAACTGATCTGCCTTCGTCCTCACCTATCATCCTTCACTGGTATCCCGTTAGCGTATACCGATAGCGTGGGCAGGGTTACCATTCTATCTTTAGTCATTAAAAAAAAATCCTATTTTAAATTCCTGTTTTGACTAATTTCATAAACAGGTTTCTTGTTTATATATAGCCTTTTCTTCAGATTATAAGTAGTTCTTTATATTGTGCTATAATACCACATACAATACTTTTATTTATTTTATTTTTACATTCTTCCACATGCTTGTAATATTTCCTTTTTATTGATATATATTTAACAATATATATATATATATATATATATATATATATATATATATATATATATATATATATATATATATATATATATATATCCCTAAATTAAATGCCCGTAACAAATGAAAAGTCCTTTAAATTCCCCAAAAACAATTAATCAAGACGTACCTATAATGAGTTCCTGAACCTTAATATATTTCACGACCATCCCAAGTTATTTAAAAATAAAATTCTAAAAAATCTCCCATAATAATCATCATGAATCCTATAACTAATAATTACCCGATTCTTGTTCCCTGTTTTAATAATTCTAATGAAGTATTCTTATGTTATTATTTGTATGTCATATTTTTTTTATTGTTTTGTTAGTATCAATTTTATTAATGTGAAATCGATGTTTTTAGAATATATTTTGTGCATCTCTTATTTGTTGTAAATGCAAAATGCAGGATTTATATATTAATTAAAATTAATGCCTGTATTTACACTGTTGATGTACCTTTTAAAATAAATAAAAATAATATTTTCATGATTTTTATGTACAATAAACCATAATAAATTCTCTCGCAGAAATCTTACAGAAAATTTCTTTACACTAATAACTTCTGTATTGAGTATGATTGCGAGCTAACAATTTAACTGTTTGCCCCGGTGTACAAACATCATCAATGAGCGGAACTGACTGATATAACAATACTGTAAACATGAACGGACTTCTTTCACTTTACAACAGTTGAGTTCATTCTTTCTGGATGATATCACATATATTGAAATTCTAGTTAATATTTTAAACCTTTCCACGCCGTAATATATGGTTTCTACTAAATCGTGAATTTGTGCGTTCTAGAAATTTCTTAATGATATTATACCCAATTGGAGTAAGTGGTGTCTTATCTTATGTACACCTTGTAAAAAAGGAAAATAAATTATAGATTGATTGGACAGATCCGACAAAAAAAAGTGGTCAAAGGCTGGTCGGTGACGTGGCGTATGCTGAAGCAGTGGAGGTGGCATCCCACGTGACCCCCGTGCCTGGTGGTGTCGGCCCTATGACTGTGGCAATGCTGATGAAGAACACTGTGCTGGCTGCGAGGAGACAGCTCGAGCGATTGTCAGCACAGACCTGGCCTCTTCGACCACTTAGATTATCACCAGTGTCACCGCCGCCCAGGTTTTTATACTCCTTTATTAGTATAGTATAAAATAGACCACGTTAAACACATTATAGTACTGAATTGTTAAAAAAATAACTACTAAAAGTAGTTCTTTATACTGTGCTAATACATTGTATTAAGGTGGTGCTATTGAAGTGAATAGGCCACCCTCATACCAAACGACGGTTTTATATGCCTTCCGTAGCACAAAGCAAGTCATAGTCATTTAAAAATGATCTAAATAGGAATTTGAAAAAATCTAAACTTTATCTGGCATTCGATCTGGAGATTCTGGGTCGCAATCAAGCAGTCTTAGACTGAGCTACGTTACGATCATTGTTCTTATTGTATCATCTGTCCTTTTCCTTATCAGAATGTTGTAAGAAATAAAGAAACACAGCATAATGCATTAATGCAAGAGAAGGAAATATCAAAATAATATCAAACCAATTCTCCAACATAGTAAAAGTAGGCTGGAATTATTCCTTTATGAGAGAGACCCGTTCCCCGTAATTGAACGATATTGATTGTCCCAGTTATTTATGACGACGACTTATTAAGTTCAGATCGCGTCATTATCTGGCTAAATATTTCTGCTTTCTTTATAGTGATATCGTCATAGCACGATCGCAGAGTCCAAAAGATATCAGTGAGTTAGCTCAAGAGATTGGCTTGTACCCGAAGGAGGTATCACAGTATGGGCGTACAAAAGCAAAAATTTCGCTCTCGGTTCTAGATCGATTGAAAGACCAGCGCAGCGGTAAATATATCGTGGTTGCAGGGTGAGTAAATTAAGTTATGGTAAGTTTAAAAAGGTACTTCATGTCCAGTGCAACAATGCATTTAAGGTACCGTCGGCATTGCCGTGATTTCGTATTGCAGTGGGGCGTTTGCAAAAGACATAGATTGTTTTTATGCCGATGATAATAGAATGGTAATCCCGCTTGTGCTAACAGTATACGCTGGCGGTGTACCAGGGAAGGATGATAGGTGAGAATGAAAGGATAGGTCAGTTAGCCCATCGTGATAGTACATCTGGAATTCAGCACAATGGATTCCAGGGGGGCTACGTAGAGTCGACATGACAGGGTATATTGCTAGTAATGAGACTGGTAGTCCACATTACTAACAATGCCTCCGCCCCTCCCCTCCCGCAGGCGACGGGCTTTTTTAATGGGTGATAATGGAATGGTAACCCAGCTTGCGCTATCGGTATACGCTGGCGGAGCACCAGTGAAACGCGATGAGTTAGTACCAATGGCATCCTAATCATCATTGCGAGTAAGCTGAACTGCTTTTATATTGGTTACTTGTGCACGGATCTCAAACGGAATACAGTATTGACTTCAAATTAGTGTTTATATTTGATTGTGACTATGGTATTAAGAAATTGAATTATTATATTTAAAATGAAATATATTATTATTATCAGTTTGTACAGATTATAAAAAAATACTTTTTTCTGTCCAGTATCACACCCACACCGCTCGGGGAAGGCAAAAGTACAACTTTATTAGGGCTGGTGCAGGCTCTATGCGCGCATCGCGGTCGTAATGCGTTTGCTTGTATGCGGCAACCCAGCCAAGGTCCAACTTTCGGTGTGAAGGGCGGTGCCGCCGGTGGTGGTTACTCTCAGGTAAAGTTTGTTATTATCTCCATTCATTTATATACATTATATAGGGGCCAATCTAGGGGGGTTATTTAAGCAAATCGATTATTCTATCATGATGAATAGAATTAACCACGATGGTTTGTTTCCAGTACAAACCGCGTGGAAGTTGCTTTGATAAGTTATATTGCTTTAGGATCCTATGCCCCTTCCCCTCCTCCTGACCTAGGGCTACTCATTCAGGCAGATACTTAGTGGTAAAATGAGTATACTTTATTTGCATAATAGAATATAGGGAATAAGCAAGATACAATAATAACATGGCCATTCATTATAAAAGGCGACTAATGAATTTATTATATTTAATTTTGCGTAGAGGTGCAATAAAGCATAAAATTCAGGCATTGACAAATATAAATATACCTAAATGATTAATAAATGTGAAAATCAAGATTCACGGTTTTTCTAGAAATTCTTACTAAATGTAACTTGGTGTATTCGAAACCAACTCCAAGTTTGGTCAGTAAAAAACAAATGTACATTTGGTACGACACAACAATGGAATAAAGGAACTTGAAACCTTGAATTGTTATGTGTATGTGTCCTTACCGTATTCGGTCACAGTCATTTTTAAGACTAGGGTCACGTTCGGCTTATCTTCCAATCGCACTGGCTGGCATCGACCAAGCATAGCAGCCACATTCAAATTACGTTATGTTTTTCTTCCATTGCTAACTTTCACAATATTAGTAGTACCTATTTAGAATGGGTCTTATTATTAAGTAGCTAATTGATATTTATGAAGATAGAACTTAAAATGAAAATAGAACAAAGCATAGATATTACATATTTCCCTTAAATACACTTAATCTATATTTACCAATAAGATTAGATAATGTGGACCGTCTATTGGTTTTCAATAAGGTTCTTAAAACATACAATGCGACGTTACCGATTTTCCGTCAACGGAAAAAAGCTAGTGGAAAAAAGTCGTAATTGGGCGTGATCCGCTTTTCAGTTTTAATTTGGCTTTTATAAACGCCTTTTTACGTCTCTAGGTATAGTACCTGTATATTAATGTAATTTTTTTTTCTAATAAATTGAGTGTACGTGCCTAGTTTCTTTGCTAAACAAAGAAACTAGGTATAGATTTGGCAAACAAGTTTAAAGTCTGGTTTATCTGATTTGGTATCCAGCGTCAATAGATGATGTAATTGCTCATTATATTTTGAAAAAAAATAAGAATGCAGATATCTACAAATTTCACTTATAATTCATATATAAATTAGATAATATTTGGTATACTTGACGAAAAGTGGGCGTGTTGATTGTTACATTTACCTACCACAACGGCGACAGTCGCCTAATGTCTCTGACCACACTATTAGAGATTATAGTCATGAGAATTTATTTGGACATTATGTTTATTATTGATAGGTTATCCCAATGGAGGAATTCAATCTTCACTTAACCGGTGACATACATGCTGTTACTGCGGCTAACAACCTGCTTGCCGCTCAGATGGACGCCCGTATATTCCACGAACTAACCCAAAAGGACGGTCCTCTATATGATCGATTGGTACCAAAGATCAAAGGTACGAGAAAGTTTTCTCCGATACAGTTGAGAAGGCTCAAGAAGTTAGGCATTGACAAAACTGATCCTGATTCGCTTACGGCAGAAGAAAGAAGCAGATTTGCTCGGTTAGATATCGACCCGAATAGAGTTATGTGGAATAGAGGTAAGTACCAAATACTATAGAATATCATAAAAAATCATGTAAAAAGCGTCTGTATTGAATATAGACAAATTTTATAACAATTAAAATGGAGATAAGGCTAATGAAATAAAGTAAACTGCTATTCATCTTTTTAAGCGATTTGAAGAGAAAATGCACCATTTTGTTATTATTATTTACCAACTTATAGACATGAAAGTGTTTTTAACCGTATGCAAAATTAATATGAATTAACATAAGAGTAAAAAATTTTGTGTGGTCCCGGCGTAGAAATGGCCACCCCTTCCTTTCTCGTGGGTGTCAAGAGAGGCAATTAAAAGAATCTATTAGTTGACAATTAGTAGTAACAGCCCTCTTGTAACATCACTTAAGGTTTAATCGCGGTTACCAACTCATTTGCCAAGCGTGGTAACTACTGGTAACACCCTCTTAAAGGGTAACAGAGGACAGTTAACGGTTGATATGATGATGATAATGTGAGTAAAAAAATTGACAAATAAAAAACAAATGCAAAAAATTATGTATAAAACGATTCATAATTTGTATTGGGGGTATGTATACACAAGAAAAAACAGAATCGAATCGGGAATCATCTCATATTGTGGTTTAAAAAACAATAAATTAGTAAAAAGAAAATCTCGTAAGCAACAGAAATTAAGAAAATGAATAATAATGAAACTTTTGTTGTTTCAGTTGTGGATTTGAATGACAGATACCTTCGTAAGATTACTATAGGCCAATCACCAACAGAAAAGGGTTTCACTCGTGAGACCAGCTTCGACATATCTGTTGCTTCAGAGATCATGGCAATTTTGGCACTTGGTAATGATGTGGAAGATATCAAAATAAGACTTGCAAGTATGGTGGTGGCGTACGATAAGAAAGGCAATCCTGTCACTGCTGATGATCTAGTAAGTATTTTGCTATGTATGAGCAATGTTATGAAACATAGAGTCCCATATACACCGAGCAATTATCATAACGATAATATGCCGTTTGATTGTAATTTTTTAATTTTTCTTGGAATGATAGATGAGGATGAAATTAGATCACTAAGCTAATTGAAACGAATTTACCAGGAATTAATCACGACTGTTTTAAAAACGGACTATTGGAGGTGGGAGTAATAGTAAGGACTAGTTCCTATTACTTACGATTCCTATCTCTTTGGAAGAAAGCTAGTTAGATCTACATATCTTGTGCTTTATGCGGTTATTCGTTGTACCTCGAAAAGGTGGCCAGATCGAATTGGTATAATAAAGAGATTAGATTAAAAGAATCAATCAACATAACTTCTAGAGAAGGAAAAGAAAAATTACGAAAGAGATTTATCAAGCAAGAATGAATGGAGATGTCGTTATGTGCTACCCTAGACGGACGTATACCGACCAAATAAGCGACGCGATGTGCTGAAGAAGGGCCAAATTAAAAATATCCGTAACCGGCGAGCGTGTATGAAAAGAATGATGAATGTGAAAGAAGCGAAAGGAGTTTGTTTGAATCGAAGCATTTGGCATCCCATTGTTTCTGCCTACCCTAATGGGAGACAGGCGTGACAGATATGTATGTATGAAAAGAAAATTATCTAATGGTAATAATACTTGTAATTCTAGGGCGTCACGGGAGCACTTTTGGTTCTACTTAAGGATGCATTTGAACCTACGCTGATGCAGTCATTAGAGGGCACTCCCGTGCTGGTGCACACGGGTCCTTTTGCGAATATCGCTCATGGGTGCTCTTCGATTTTAGCCGACAAGATTGCCATGAAGCTGGCCAGAGAGAATGGTTATGTAGCTACAGAAGCGGGTTTCGGATCTGATATAGGTCAGTATATTCAATGTATCAGTTTATGTTATTTTGGCTGTGTGGTCCCGGCATAGAATGGGCCACTCCTTCTTTTCCCGTAGGTGTCATAAAAGGCGACTTAGGGCGAGGATAAGCAGCAGCTTCTCTCTTAAGATATCTCCAAAGCTTAATTGCGGTTGCCAATCCGCCTGCCTAGCATGGCAACTATTGGCAAACCACCCCCAAGGCGGAGACTTATGTCCAGCAGTACACAATTAAGGGCTGATATGATGATATATAATTTATTATGGTTTCGCCTGCACGAACTCTATATTTCTCATTTCCGTTTTGATTTATAGAAATCCTCATCAGAGGGAGGCTTTTATCTCTGTCCTACTTGTGTTTCTGCTATGAAGCAACTGTGCAACTGTTTAAGATATAACAGTGACTAGAGATTGAGGACTCAATTCCTTAACCCTCAAGGGTTAGGGGAAAGGGATTGTTAGTAATGGAGACTGAGAATCCCATTGCTAGCTATATACCCAACCGGTTTGACCTCCTCGCGGTTCCCCCTGGAAACTATCATGGTTAATTCCTGATGAATTCATCATGATGGGCTAACTGGCCTGTTTTCATTCTCACCTATCACCCTTCACTGGTGCTCCGCCAGTGTATTCCGTCAGCGCAGGCGGGGTTACCATACCATTTTCACCCATTAAAAAAAAAACCCTCAAGGGTTAGGATAAAAAACGTTATAAATTTATAGCGTCATGTACTTATTTTCTTAAATATGTTTAGATCTTAATTTAATTTGTTACAAAAACATTAATTAGAGGATCTTAATATTTCTGCAGGCATGGAGAAGTTCTTCGACATCAAATGCCGCGCTAGCGGGGACAAGCCACACTGCGCTGTAATTGTAGCGACCGTCCGAGCGCTGAAGATGCACGGCGGTGGGCCCGCTGTCACCGCAGGCGCACCCCTCCACGATGTCTATGTACAGGTGTGTATGGCAACTATACGTCAACGTCACGGTTCATTCTCGGTCTGGTAAATTATTATCACGTAAGAAACAATGGATGTATTCATACTATTCGTAATTGGTTGTAATTCCTAACTTATACGCATACAGAGGATCTGATAAAACCTATCGTTTGAAATATATATCGAAATGCTATAGTATGTTTATACTATAGTTACACAGGCTCGACTCATATGCGGACCATAGTTTAGCAATTCTGTATCTTACTGTTTTGAATAAAGATTACTGTAAGATTATTATTACTATCTGAGGGAACAGTCCACTGTTGTTCTAGTCACGATCGATCTCGAACACTTTTTGTAGATTTCCTATCTACATTATACCTTTAATACTATATTATTATTCTATATGTGTACTGTTTTATTTTAACAAACTAGCATATTATATTGCTTCACGGTATCTAAGCAATTACTATAGCTTGTGGACATTTGCATCATGTAGGAGTATCTGATACGTCATGTTTAGGTTTTATGTCGATCCTGAAAACCGGTGACCATTGGGCGATTACAATTGAAAGTTCTCTAAGCAATACAATAAGAGTAACTAGGCGAACGCCAGCTAGGCAAATGGCCAAAGTGCTTATATTTATTGTACAAGGGTGGCAAATATTTATTTCTGGCCGGAGCGGCAAAACAGCTAGACAGTGTATTGCTTCGTAGATGCCATTAATTAATTAACTTTTACTACGACATGGGAAAGGAATTGTTAGTAATGGAGACTAAGAATCCCATTGCTAGCAATATACCTAATCAGGTCGACCTCTACGCGGTTCTCCCTGGAAACTATCATGGTTATTTCTTGATGAATTCATCATGATGGGCTAATTGACCTGTTTTCATTTTCATCGATCACCCTTCACTGGTGACCTGCCAGCGTATACCGTTAGCACAGGCTGGGTTACCATTCCATTTTCACCTAACAAAAAAAAAAATAACCAAAATGTTTGTGCTTATATTTTTCAGGAAAATTTGGAACTGCTAAGTAAAGGCTTATGCAATCTAGGCAAACATATTAGCAACGGAAATAAGTTTAGGGTTCCGGTCGTTATTGCTATAAATAAGCACGGGTGAGTGTTTTTTAGTACATGCTTTTATTTCCGTTAGCTGTCCACTATTGAACACAGGTCTCTTCTATAGACTGTCATAAGGAACGGTACTGAGTTGGCATGGGTAATATTGCTATTGCTCCAATATTAGTTTCTTTTGGACATTGATGATAGAAAAAAAATACCCACCCATTTCGATATCGCCCGTACCGGTCGGATATGTATACTAATTTCGATCGGGTCCTTCATTTCGACATTAAATATTGGTTAACAGACATTTAACATATTATTGGGCCAATATATATATATTGTAGCTAAAATATATAGATATTGGAATATATTATCCACCCCTAGTCCCGAGCAACCGGCTTTCACTGCCTCTCTGCAATGCATTTAAGGTCGTCACTCCATCTAGTGGTAGCATTTGCTATGCTACTATTTAAATTACTACAGATATGTACATGTATGTGTATAGGTAGTATATGAATGTACATAGTCACATACTACCTATGTGTATAATATAATAGATGTAATCTATGTGGCTTGCCAATTTGCTTTGTTTTTATAATTTTTTTTATTTATAGATAGTGACTCTCTACTGCGCCAATTCCATACAACGTCACATTTTGTATCTGCTTTTAACACCTTTTTTATGTAGGAAATCTAGTTCGAAAAAAATTATACATCAATAAGACATTCAAGTTTACTTTGAGCCAAAAAATGGACACGCAGTATAATTAACCTTGGGGCATCTATATATGTAAAATACATAATAATAATAATATTATATATATATATATATATATATATATATATATATATATATATATATATATATACGATGATATTATTTGTTGGCTGGCGTAATTCTAAAAGCAATTCTTTGTTTCCAAAATAAAGGTATGACGTCATATAATCATAGGATATCCTTGTTGTATGTTATGAGAAATCATGAACATTAAATATTTTCATTTGCTATTTCAGTACGCATACAATAACACTGTTCTTTATAATAGGTACTAAATGTTAATATTTCTTTTTTTATTTTAATTAACCAATGTTACAAAGGTTACATTATGTAAAACTATTATCTATAGATAATAGTTTTACTTTTTTATGCAACATAATATGTATATATGTAACATAATATATAGCCATAGCTCGGCATAGAATAAGCCACCCCTTTTTTCCCATGGGTGTCGTAAGAGGTGATTAAGGAAATTTAATTGCCTTTTAGAAAATTATCAAAGTCTATCCGCGGTTGCCAACCCGCCCGTCAAGTGTAGCGTCTACTGCCAAACCCCTTTATGGGGAATACCTGTGTTTAGCAGTAGACAGTTAAATGACTTATATAATAATAAAAAATAAAAACAATGACGAAAGATTATTTTTCTACAGAAATGATACAGAAGCTGAGCATAATCTTATAAAGTCGTTTGCCCTTCAAAATGGTGCATTCAGAGCTGTCATATGTGATCACTGGGCAAAAGGCGGCGCCGGCGCAATTGATTTGGCAGATGCAGTGATCGACGCTTGCGACGCTAAATCTAACTTCCAATTTTTATATCCATTGAATCTACCAATACGCGACAAAATTAAACGCATTGCAACGGAAATGTATGGCGCTGGAGAGATTGAATACACAGACGAGGTGCAAAAGAAGATTGATGTCTTTACTGAATTGGTTTGTAGTATTTTTATTCTTTGGTAATATCGCAAGTTTCAATTATATTAACAAATAATATTGTACATTAAATAATTGAGAATAGAAGATACTTGAGGGCATTTTTTTATTGGAAAGGGAGTAGAAATTGTTAGTAACGAGGATTAGTGGCTCATTGTTAGCAATTTTTATTTATTTCGTCAACTGGGTGAGTTCTACTGTTTCTCTATACGTTCACCCAGAAAGCATCAGTACAATCACACATACTTTATAATTAAATGGAATAATTTTAATATGATTTAACAATACAGATAACATTAGATTTTAAATTTCTGAACACAAACACTCTGTGGTCGTCCGACGAAACTGCAACAAGCTGGAGGCAAACACGTCTAATTGTGGATACCGGTTCAAAACATCATTGAGTAGTTTCAATGCAAGAGATAGAGGAGTTTGCTTAGTCAACTTTGTTCTTGTTAACGGAACATCAAATAAGTACCGTCTACGTACTCGCACAAAAATAGCTACTGGTTGCTCCTATTGACCTATATTAACCTCTATATATATACCTGACAGGTTATAATATATCCTGTCAGGTAAACCTCAACGCGCCCTTTCTTGGAAACCATCGTGGTTGATTTCTGGCGAATTGGTCACGATGGGCTAATTGACCTACTTTCATCTTCACCTATCATCAATTACAGGCAGGATTACTTTATTTATGCACTTAGTTTATATCAGTGAATGCATTAGCTGATTCAACGTACTCGTGTGTGTGTTAGTAATACAGACCATGTGGCTTAATATTTCATGTTTTATTATTAATGCTATGAATGCGAACGTTTATTGTTTTGATCTTTAGATATTTATGACGTTTAAACATCGAACAGCATCTACCAATTTAGATTAGGTTTTTTTCCTAAATTCGACTGATTGACAACTTAACCAGCAAATAATACCTATATAAAAAAGTAATAGATTGCTTAAGATCTATCAGAGTATTTTATTAATAATTAATCAAAAATACTGAAAATTGTTCAATTGTTTTTGAAAATTGACAAATAATTTCGACCTTATTAATACTTAAATAAGCTTTGCTATAAATAATCCAGATGGCATCAGATACTTTTAAGATTTTAAATGTTTACAGGGCTACGATAAACTGCCAATTTGCATGGCCAAAACATCGAACTCGTTGACCGGTGATCCGGCTATAAAGGGCGCTCCTGTGGGCTTCACGTTGAAGATTAACAATATCTTCGTATCGGTGGGTGCTGGGTTCGTGGTTCCAATGGTCGGGGAGATCTCCAAAATGCCCGGGCTTCCCACGCGACCCAGTATCTACGACATAGACTTGAATACGCAGACGGGCGAGATCGATGGATTATTCTAGCAATTTATACACTCTTTTATGTAAAATTTTTACTAAAGATCGCATATAATTTAATATTAATATTACTTGTTAAGGAAATTAATAAAAAAATATCCCTTTATTTTTATTAATTTGTTGTTGTTTATTAACTAATTCGAATATAAAATACCAAGAGTTACTTTACAGTTTCCATTAAAAACAAATAAGACTGAATAGATTTGACTGGATCATTTTAATAGGATTTCGATATTCCGAGCTCCGCGTGAAACAATACATAAAGTATTCTTATGTGCTAAGTTAGGATATAAGTTACTTGTGTACCAAATTTCTTTTAAATTTGTTCAGTATTTTTTATTTATTTGTATTTTTGCACACATTAAAATATGTCTACAGGGCGGACATAATGTCTGATGGCATTCTTTATCAGTCGACCGTTACCTTTAACAGAGTAAATGGCGGTGCATTGCTCTATCAAAATCAATTTGTAAATAAAATAAATATTTTGATAAATAACAACATTAATACATTTTAAGATGAATGAATATAGAAACATATAGAATAATATACCATAAGTAGTAGACTAGTCCAGCCCTAAGTACGGTTACAAATGAAAATGCATTTTCATTTGTAACCGAACATTGTTTTGAACATTGTGTAATTTGACAATGAACATGAAAAATATGTGAAGTGACGCGAAAACGAAAGAAGTTTTTAAAATAATAAAAGTGTTCCAAATTCTAAATAATTAAAATGTTGAAAAAAATGTATGTAACAATATTTAGTTACTAGTTAGTAGACTAGTTATTTACAAAAATTAAACACACATAAATCACATACAATACAATACACATATAAATAACTATATGCTAATCATATAATATAATGTTTATAAGTAATGACTAATCATATAATATATAATAGATTAAAGCTCTTCGTTGTCGTTATAATTTCAATTGTTCTTGAAATTTTACATTTTTATAACAAACATCTATTGTTTCAAACTTTCGCATTTATTATATTAATAAGATATATATTTCAAAGCAAAAATCTCGATTTATTATGTATTTTATGATTTACGAGCGAGCGTTTAAGGTAGCGATGCGCGGATCTGAACGATTGATACTAATTTTATAATTCGTATTCCAATTATTTTACTAATTAGCAACTAATTACAACAAAGTCCTTTCTCTGAATTTGTTTACTACTAAGTTCATTTTACAGTTTGTATCCATTACTACTACATTACCATCTTAGTAAAAAAGGACGACAAAAAAAAAAAAAAAAAAGAAACGCCACATTAAGCACTGATATTGTTCGATCTTATTATAGCAGAGCGCAATAAATAAACTATTTGATTGTAAACTGTGTTTAATTTTATATATATATACAGATACACTGTAAAACGCAAATAACAATTGTTTAAAACCGGAGTTGACCTGAACACACATACGTGACATTAAAAAGAAATTATCAGCGGAGCGAAGTGTTGCTAGTACAATAAAAAACTAGAGAAGGGATGTGCTGAGTATTTCCAATACATATATAAATTTTATAGCCCGTGTTGTCTCGCAATTTCCTATAAAACTATATTTACTTTTATCGAAAATTGGTAACTTTTTACTAAATTTAAATTAGCAATACTCTTATCTATTAAAAAGTAAAACATTTCAACGATTGGATCGATACGGTCATATTCGTGTCGACTCGTATATCAATAACTACTAATGAATGATATTAGTAGTCGGACGACATTAGTAGTTAGCTGACATTAGTAGTCGAATGAATAAAATTTGTAGTTGAATGATTTGAAAATAATGCGAATAATCCAAACAACTTGCTGAGTCGAATAATTAGTATATAGTCGAATTAGTAAAGTCGCGCATCGCCACTTTTAGCAGTTAGCATGAGAATTTGGGTGGTGTTACACGCATATTCTGCTAACGTTATTGTGGCCGTATTTATTTATGTGTCAAAAAGTTCGCGCACTATGAATACATAACAAATTACAGTTTTATTAATAAATAAAATAATACTTTGTTTCTGATATGATTATTTGTGGTATGAAGTGGTTTTGTGATGAATTTATTTTAGTGCAGTGAAAAGATTTTGTGCATTTATCGAATTTGGTGATTTGTCATCACATATATTTTTGTTTTCTTTTTACAAAAGAATTACAGAACAGCTGATACTCAATACTACAAAAAATATATCTTAAACCTAAATTAAAGAATACAGAAGTATTCCATTTAAAAAACCTAAGGTAAATATTTATATTTCGTAGAATGCAATATTATAAGTAGATGCTTTAAAAAATAATAAAAAAATATATATAAAAAATATGTTGTAAGGTTTTGATCATAGAAATTCAAGTTTTGGCTGACAGTATTAATTTATTGTTTTTTTATTTAGTAGATTTTTATGCGTATTGAAAGAAAAATATACAATATTTTGTTGTACAAATTAGTTGTATAAATTTAAGCGTTCGTATTAATATCTGTAGTTTGTATTGAAAATGTAGATTAGCGCCTCTAGCGAGGTTGGTTTTAGTAACTTAGATTTACATATAAATTTGTAATTATGAATACAATAGTAACGTAAATCTTTATGCAACTCATACTACCCACTCTGTTAACTTTCTATCAATTATGCTCTTTCCTTTACACTTAATTATATATATATATATATATATATATATATATATATATATATATATATATATATATATATAATTATTTTATATATATAATATAATTATATTATATATTATTATATTATATATTAGAATATATATATATATATATATATAAATTCCTGAATTAAGGTGAAAAAAATGCGAAAATCGAAAATACGTAACTCACGAAATTTTAAAATAACGGTTATTTTTTTATCAGACCTCGTATATATATATATATATATATATATATATATATATATAAAACCAGAGACCTCAGAAGTCACAATATGTCTATAATTTCATTTCCGCTTTTCAGACACACGTCTGCTACAATAATTAAAATAATGAAAGAAAAAATAATAATAATTAGTCTGGTAGTGGGCTATTTCCTACCAAGTATGACCAGTGGGTATAACAACAATTGTTGCGACACTGGTCAACAACTAAAAAAAATCATAAGTGAAGATGGATTTACTGTAAATATACTATGTTTGGACCTTGCAACAAATAATACCACACCATTATCTATAACATGCAAGACGCCGGTCGCAATACTGGCAACATTTTATATAAATGATGAAGGCCACTTAGTTGTGCAGACTTCGGTAAATCATGATATTATCATAAAGTCAGGAGAGTAAGTATAGTTTATCAACATTTTTTAAGATCAAAATTAACAACAAATAAAAAAAGATGGAAGAAATTATTATAGGTACATATTTTCAGATATTGTTTGTACCAAACATTATATACTTTGAAAGTATACAACAGAGTCATATTATGTACAGATGACAACGAGGATAAGAATGACATTGCTGATTCAGTAAAAGGCTACTGTATGTTGGTATCAGTCATATTTCTTATATTGACTGCAACGGTATATGCTGCTATTCCTGAATTAAGGTGATTAAATACTGTGCGCTATTGTCCATATGCTAACTGTGCTTGCAACACTTACCTATTGCACTTGTAAGTTACATATAAAATGTATTTATAAATGTTATGAGCAAGGGTGGACTCATCTCTGTCAGAGATCTCTTCCAGTCAACCCAATACAGTGAGAAAGCATTTCGTTAGCGGGCAGCTGAAGTGCTACAACTATTAATATATAAACAAATACACAGTTAAATAAAATATTAAAATATATAATAAAATATTACACAAATTCATACACTATAAATCATCATTCGAAGCTATTGTGTATAGTACATATATATTTAAATGACGTATTGCATTTAATGACGTATGTATTATATGTACTTTGACGTAATGATAACAGTAATGATGACGTAAATAGCAGTTTATTGTTTATTTACGGAGGATTTTTCCTTTTCCTTATCATACATGTCGAAGTAATTGAATGTCATAATATTTGTATGGTATACACGAAATAAATATAGCGATTTACAATTTCTTATATCAGATGATATTGTGATAAACGTAAAAATTATAGGGAAATAAATTTTATTTTTAACACGTCGGCTACTTTTAGGGGCCAAAATGACTGACACCGGATCTGTACTTGATAAAACCCTTGTGGCTATGGAGGCTTGAATAACTGGCACTGCTGAGAGTTTCACTATTACTTATACACTGCTGGCTAGGCATTATTATACCGCGCGGTCAAGTTTATAAATTTTTTTAATATAAGAACTTATTCTTCGAGATATTAAGCAAAATATGTAGATGAATATATGAATAACGTTTTATTTTTATGTTTATGTGGATATAAATAGTTTGTAAAATAATCTGCATAATTAAAACTCGATGTCACGTTTTGTCTTCGTTTTAGTGATTTTTCTACTAGAAATATTTAGAAATTAGTTTTGGAATAGAGCACATATAATTTTCCCGTAGCTGTAGGCTGCTGTGTCTACTTGACAGGGAAATAATTGCCCTAAATAAAATATTCTCTTCATCTCTGTTCAAAGTACCTGTATGACCTTAGATACTTTTGTGACATTTAATGCAAAACAGTTTAATTAGCGTAGTATTTATTCATAATAGGTGATAATATTAAAATATATTAAACACAACAAATAACACGATAGATATTAAAAAAGGTCAAATATTATTATATTAATAAATATACAGGGTGAAGTTGTATGTAAAAATGTAAGTCTACATATACTATATAATATACTAGAACAGTAAATTTAGTTCACCAAAAATTCAAAAATGACAAAAAGTTTTGAACTTTCCATACGAACTTAACAGCTGTACGTACCGTGATAGTGTGTAAGGCTTGAATTTTTTGTTATTTTTCGATTCACGTGTCTTTAGCGAAAATGTCCAGTTTCTACGGTAAATTAACGATTTCGATTTCATTTTGTATATTACATACTAGTTAAATAACTGTTAATCTGTGATTTCTCCATCTACTAAAAAAAATCTTTTTAAATACTGTTTAAGAATGTAGGTTACTCAGGACCGTTCCATATGGCAGTTTACGAGGAACCAATAGTGGACAGATAACGGCTGATATGATGATGATGATGATAATATTTATAATATGAATATCGCTAAGATCAATGTTAAAAATATAAGTAGGTATATAATAAGAATTAAATTTTAAATAGAGAAAAATGATTAGGCTAACGGTATATAGGGGGAGTTGTGTTCGCGATTTTGTTACACCTTCCACCACTTCTCCTGTTTAAAACGCCTAATGTTATATTAAACACTGAAAGAAAATGAAGAAAAATTTACAGTTTTATATAGTTTCCGGTGCGACGGAAAATGTAGCCTCTCCGTTTTGGCATAATCTACAATATAAATTCGCAATTAATAACCTGTCTGTACATAGGAGATATTTAAATAAAAGATGATATAAGGAATACAGAAAACTGTAAGGCTGTAGTGATTCCTAAAGTGGGTTCCGCGGAACCCAGGGGTTATATAAAAAGTTACTGGGGTTCCGCGAAATTATTTATACAGTAAAACAATTCACATTAAAAATTAAAGGAAACTATAAAATTTTATACTTTTAAAATATTTACAATAAAAGCTTTTGTTCTTATTTAAATTACAGTGTTTTTGATCTGTAATAATTTGATATGAGCTTCCATAAAATTAAAGGTATTTGATGAAGATGGGTGTTATCTTAAAAGTTACTTATCTTATGCTTTACAGCAGGGGTTAGGAACCCCTGCTGTAAGGCATAAAATTAAGCATAAGGACATTCAAATAATGGTTTTTAGAATTTTTATCTGTGTATCTGTAAGTTTGTTGATATGATTCTCATGCAAAAATTATTCCATCAAATTAGTTGTGAATTTCACATCAAACTTCAATTTCATTTTTATTATATACTTTAGTTTTTTTTTATTAATTTATATATAACCTTGCAGAGACCTCCTCGGCAAAAGCTTGATCAGTTTCTGTGGAAGCTTATCTATCGGCCTGTCGATATTGGTCATCATGAAATTGATGGCATATTCGAATATGTCACTTTGCGCAGTGAGAGGTTTGTGTTTTACTATTATTCTAACACATTTAAACTTTAATTATTATTTTATTATTAAGATTAGAACATTATTTATCAATAATCAATTATGTGTGTGTGTGTGTGTGTGTGTGCGTGCGTGCGTGCGTGCGTGCGTGCGTGCGTGCGTGCGTGCGTGCGTGCGTGCGTGCGTGCGTGCGTGCGTGCGTGCGTGCGTGCGTGCGTGCGTGTGCGTGCGTGCGTGTGTGTGTGTGTGTGTGTGTGTGTGTTTTCAAAGCAATTTTGGTTGTTACTTTAATTTTGTCTCGTTGTTACTGAAGGCGAATTATGTAATTTTATATGTTAATCTATAAATTTGTAATTAATTTCATACAAATCCGTTCAACTGTTTTAAGCGTGACTGAATAAATAAATATCAAAACAATAATTTATTTTATATTATAATTATTGGAACGATTAATAAAACTGTGTTGCCTTAATACAGACAAATAATATATAATAAGAGAAATACACTTTAATGAAATTATAATTATTAGATACTATTTGTTTATTACTTAAATAAGACATGGAAGAGTAAATACATTTTTATTTTTAGGTTTTTTCGCATATTTTTTTATACTGTCGAGTTTCTTCTGGTCTAATGCAATGGCGATACAAATAATGTTTAGTATGAGGTAAGTTAATAAATTAGAGGTAATAAGTATGCATGTTTTTGTATCCCACAACGCTTAACCTGTGGTAGAAGTAATCGTTTATCTTGGTATGGATATTATGCATTTATTTCATGAATGGGCAACAGCGTCCTTTTTAAAACATCACGAAAACCTAATCGTCTATCAAGGGTGGCAAATACTGGAAAAGTCACCTAAGAGGGAGACTTATGTTCAGCAGTGGACAGTTAACGTCTCATATAGAAAAGAAAATTTCATATAAAAAAAGAGTACAAATAATTACATATACAAATAGTATATATAAGAGTACATATACAAATAATTATTATGATGAAATTTTATGTTATTTTTTTGTGTAGGCGACCATGCCTGTTATATGACCGTGGATGGAGAGAGTTCTCGTGGTACTCTTTATACGCGTGGGGGTGTCCGGCCGTGCTTACAATAATCACGGCGATTGTCAACTTCCACCCCGGCGATCACCCCAAGCCTGGCATTGGATTGATGCACTGCTGGTTTGTAGGTAATTTGTTGATTAATTACGTGTATGGTTTTATGGAATTGGTTTTCGATTGTATTTTTTTTATTATGCAACTTCAAATGGCAAGCTAGCTGACGATTCACCTATGAAAAATGGTAAACATTCCCCATACACATGAACAGCACCATGAATAAAGGACATCACAGAACACTCAGTGGCATCCACGCGATAACTCTTACGCGATATCATTGCTGAATATGCCTCCGTACTCCTTGTATCGGTAAGTTTGAAAGATGGGATATGTCAGTATAATCAGTAGCGGGTTTGCAGTCTTGGCCACTTTAGGCCCCAGGCCATGTAGTAAGTACCAGCCATCCCTTTCTCAGCACTCATCATATTGAATACATAATGAATTTACTTTTTTGGCAACTTTTATCGAAATCGATTCAGAAATTTAGTAAACTATAATATTTGCTAGATTGTAATATTTTCCGAGGTTTCAGGGATAATTTTTTTTACATTACACATTTAAACAAAACATTTAAAATGGATTTATTTAATTGATAAAGTTAATTAAAATTATAGGTTTATTCTTATACAAGATAAGATTTAACAAGTGTTTTACAACGTGTTACAAAACTTGTCGGCATTTAAGCGCAGCAAAATCATTAATTAAATCTTTGCAATCCAATCCCCAAAAAAAAATAGCTTCTAAAGCTAAATAAAGCAAGATCATATGATGAGACCTTTGCTCCGTCATTGTTGTGCGTAAATAAGACCCAGATAGTTGATTGCTGCTTATAATCTGGATCATAAGCATATATCCAAGACTTGTCACCACTAACCATATCGTAAACATGCTTTGACTCTCCTCAGTTGAATCGCTCCAGAATTTTGCGACACCAACTAACACGGACTTTTTTTTTTGGTTTAACACAACACTGTACTATGAACAAGGGCATTAACTTACACACTTTGTATCGCAATTTAGGTGTTAGTTGATATAGGTTATTAGTACAAGTAACTTATGCGCTTTAAGTATAATTATTGAGTTTTATTTCAACACCTTATATTGAAAGTGTATAAGTGTTAGTTGACATGGGTTATCAGTACTATGAACAAGAGCAGTAATTTACACGCTTTAAGTATAATTGCTGTAGTTTTAAATGTCAACACCTAATATTGTGTAACAGTAGGCACCTTTGTTTAATCTACGAATGCACGAAGGGGCGGATTTAAGGATCGCGCGTATGTACGAAATAACTTATACGTACATTTTATATGAACGAAATAATTATTTCACATTACATTATCTATATTTTAATTATAAAGGTACAAAAGCGATTTAGGAAGATTATTGTTATGCGCACCATAATGTGCGCGAGCCTTTAGAATATTTACGTAGTTTCAGTTATTTCTTGTTATCATCAGTGATTTTTTTGCCACCATTGGTCGCTCCTAATATTATATGTGGTCGCCCTAGGCCCGGGCCTCTTGGGCCTTAGGGCAAATCCGCCAGTATAATTATTATTAAAATCACTAATTTGCATGTTTTTTTAATGTTATTTCATAACTTCGTCGGTTGTAAACCGATTTGGAAAATTATTTTGCTTACGACACTAATTTGCTTACGATATTATAGAATTTACGGCGCGGTTTATTTTAATGGGATGAAAACGGCAACCCCTTACTATTCCATTTTCATAATGCGTATATTGATAGCATAGGATGGGTTACTATTTCATCCTAAAAAATGTATATTCTTAAAAATGTTAAATAATTCTTTTATTTTAATTATCTTTATTATAATTTTAATCGTATGACAGTTGAAGTTAAATATAGGAATTATATTATAGAAAACGATTATGTTGGGTACTTTATGAATAAAAGGTTTGTTCTTTATCAAAGCAAATAATGAAGGCACTGAATTTTTGAATTCACAATAGCACTTAGTTCGTTTAAACTACAAGTACTAGGTAACAACCGAGAATAATGGATATGTTTGTCGTTATTTGTAATACGAGTGACTTTAAATTGAAATGTATTAATTATTATTAGCTATATGGTACTATATGTATATATATATATTGCAAACTTTTTAGCTATGATATGTGTAATTATTAGACTTATTTTTTTTTACTTGTACTAATTATTATTTAAGTTATAATAATAAAAGTTATTGACATAGGTTTCTATAGCCCACCATAACATTTAATAAAAAATGTATAAAGCCAACTGTAATATAATTAGATTGTCTGTCCACATTCTATACACTAGTTAAGTCCATACCAGGCGAGGTAACTGTGTGATATCCCACTAATATTATAAATGCGATAAATTGTAACGATGGACGGACGGATGGATGGACTTTTTTATGCAAAAAGTAATGATTATAATAAAATAAGATACACGGGTGTGCTAAATATTCGAAAAAAATAAAATTATTAAAATCCTCGATTCCATATGCGTTTCTGTAAATCTACTAGTGTCCTATGCGGCTTTAACATACACAAATAACACAAAAATATGAACCGTAACATATGAAAGATACGCGAGATAAAAAATAAAAACGTTATTTCAGGTGTGCTAAGTTAGGATGCACGGGTAAGGTTAAGTAGGTTTTTTTTAATAAGCGAATATGAAATGGATTGTTAAATATCGGGATAAGTTAGCCCCATCGTTAGCAGTACACCCCGTCAGGTCGACCTCCTTTGCGGTTCCCCCTGGAAACTGTCGTGTTATGTTCCAAGTGAATTTATCACGAAAGGCTAGCTGACCTGCCTTTTCATTGTCACCTATCATCCCTCACTGGTGCCCCGTCAGCGTATACCGTTAGCGCAGGCGGGGTTACCATTCCATTATCATACATTTAAAAAAAAAATGGTGGCCCTACCTAGAATATCGGCGTATACTGGCGGCGTGCACCGCCAGTGTACGCCAATATCCTAGGTGTAGCACCAGTGAGGACTGATAAGCGAGGATGAAGCAGGTCAGTTAGCTCCTTGTGCTTAATTTAACATTAATTAACTACGACGGTTAGTAGTGGGACCACGTGGGGATCGTCCTGAAAAGTATCGGTGTAGGTATAATATGCACGAAAGTAAGTAAACCTCAATTGTTTATTTCAAACAATACTTATATACATTATTTATTGTTATTGAATTATAAAAGCTGATATTTTAAAATTTTTGTGTATTTTTTATGTATTGTATTTTATTTATTTTATTGTACCTTGTGTGATAATTGCAAACAGTCTTCGATGTTCTTTTTTCCTTTTTCTTCTAACAGGGTTAATTTAAATACATCTTTTTGTGTTGGTATCATAGTAATCTGCTTAACAGATATTCGATCGATGTATTATTTAAACAAGTGTCAACTTGTGTAGGTATATAATAAATATATTATATATTAAGTTGGTAGGAACATGTATAGAACATTGATAAGATCGATGAAAGGTGGACAGGTTATTTATATTATTCTTCTTAATACTTTTTATTATTTAATAGCATTGGCTAGAGCTGACGTCACAAAAACAAGATAATATATTTTTTTAATTGAAGAACAATGTACATAAGTTGTATAAAAAAAGTAGTGAGTATAAAAAAATATTGGATTTTGTTATTTAACTATCTGATATATAATTGTGTAATTGTTTGCACTAGTTTGTTACTAGTTTGTTTTTTATTTTTCAAAACCAATTTTTTTTTATTGATGTCTAAAAATACGGTATAAAGAAAAGTGAAATTTGTAACCTTGCTCATACCATGAGTTTACGCTGAAAGGGCACCGTTTCAGCGAAGGACAATAAGATAGGACGAAGTCAGAACAGTTAGCCCGTTGTGACAAATCCGCTAGGAATTACGTATTTTCTGGGGGAAACTGCGAGATGGTTAACTTTACAGTGTAGGGTTATTAATTCCCCGTTAGGTACTAAGTCTTCCCCCAATACAGACATTTTGACTTCGTGTCGCGAGTACTTTATTGGATTTCTTCATTAAAATTATTGTTTCAGGAAATCAACAATGGTACTACATGTACAGCGTGATGACAATTTTAATATTGGCTAATATTGGGATCTTCATTTGGACTTCAACCCGTTTTTGGTGTTTATCCTTTAATTCATCCCATGTTAAAGCCGTGAAATATAAGTAAGTACTTGTGTATATATATATAATGAAATATGCAATGAGATAGTTTGCATTATGAGATCCGTTCGGAACAAACACCAAGAATAATTGACTTGTAAAAAATGCGCATATGTACTCCCAGCTACATGTTTTTGCGTATAATTGAAAATTCCGCGTACATTCTCACATTCTTATGACAATATATAATGTAATTAGTAAATAATATTATATTTTAGGCTCATGCTTACGATTCGTCTATTCGTACTGATGGGAATACCTTGGATATTTGAAATGATCGGCTCGTTGGTAGAAACAAGTATAGTATGGTAAGTTATTATATAATGTATAACATTAATAATTAAACACGTGTGTTTATTGCTTGACGTTATTATCATAATTTATTATACTAGTTTATCATATTATCACAATTATATAACAGAGATACATAGACACTCTATTGATGCATTATATTATATTTACTTAGATTTATTTTTGTTTTCATCAGGGCAATAATAGATATAATCAACACACTGCAGGGCTTGTTTATATTCGTATTGCTAGTGTTGTTGCGGCGGCGTGCCATAAAAATGATGCTAAAACACGGCTGGTTGAATTGTGTGTCGGATAGCATCGAAAAGTATTTAGCACTCGCTGAAGACGAAGAAGATGTTGTCGAGCATACGATAGACGTCAGGATGGACGGTAACATTACGACGTAAGAAAGTATTGTTATAAAATAACAAAGCATTGATTTTATGTTAATGTAAAATGGTACAAACTAAGTAATTCGAAACGAGAAACTATCCGCGGATAGGTACTAACATTTTGACATCGTGAAGTTATGTTGAAAGGAACTTAATTCACAGTAATTAAGTATTGAGACTGTAATTTACAAAGAAAACGGACGTTTTGCAGAAATAATATACTCTAAAAAATGCGATTTCAATTTTGAATACATCGCAAGATAAAGAGATGTTACGTAAAATATTTACAATGAAGGTTACATTCTAAATATTGGATGTTTACGTATAGATTTAGGTTCGCAACAAATGTTTAGCTCCGTAAAGAAGAATGGCAGAATCTATCATAGTAAAAGCATAAAATAAAAAAAAAAAAAAATTTAGAGAACGCTACTAAAATGATGTATGAAATACCTATTATACAGATGTTAATTTAAAAAAAAAATCATAACCTTAAAATTTGTGTTGTCTAAAATTTTTTAATAAATAGTACGAACAGTAATATAAATACTATTCATTAGGGTCTCAGAAAAATGTTTTTCTTTTTTCTTGAAAAATACCTTTATATTATTAAATACAAAAAAGGAATAAATGGAAGTGTTTTTAAGATTTTTTTAGCTTTTGGTAATATAATGATTTTTTTAGAAAAAAAATATTTTATGGATGTTGTAATATAATCTTAAATTTTTGACAATTTTGTAGAATTAAGTCTTTTTTGCTTAACTACGTCTATATTAATTTGTACAATATATTGAAATGGAATAATATTAATCACGCTAAATCGTAATGAATACTATTTAAAAATATTATACTCAATGGTATCATGACAAGAAAAATAATATCTTACTAAATTTATTATTTTTATAAGATTAAAAATTATTTTTATTCTTATAATAATTTTAAAAATGATTTTTTTTTATACCACCGAGGTGGCAAACAAGCATACGGCCCACCTGATGGTAAGTGGTTACCGTAGAAAATGAATTCGACTTTTACAAAATTATTATGGGATAATGGGACCAATATGGAAGTAAAACATTTCGATTACAATGATCGTAATATTTATTAACAAAAGGGGGAAAAATACTAATCGAGGGCGAGAGAAGTCAAATTGAAAATCTCCGTCTTTTTAAGCTTTATTGTTAACTAGTAAATTAATTTATTAATGTAGATAGTAAGATACGATTTTTTTTATGCAACTTAGAATGGCAAACAGACTGTCGCCCCACCTGATAGAAAGTGGTAACCGGCGCCTATAGACATGAGCAGTACCATGGCCATAACAGATTATACTTTTTTTGCCTGTAAAGTTACCCTGTAAAGTCTCTGCCATATCCCATTTTTCAAACCGAAACACAACCATGCAAACACAAATGCTTGTGTACCTCTGTCTCATTCGTGTTTCAACCGTGAAGCAGTTGTGTTTGCATGGCTGTGTTTCAGTGTGAAGGGTGGACTATGGCGTGAATTTACTGGGTACAGAGGAATAACACCTGAGTCCTCAGGAAGGCAACGCATGGGGGGTATCATGGGCGAAACAGTATACTCTGTTATGTCCATGGTACTGCTCATGTTTCTAGGCGACGATTACCACTTTCCATCAGGTGGGCCGTCAGCTTATTTGCTATTCTAAGTCGTAAAAAAAAACTGCTTTACGATAAAAACACGAATGGGATCGTGGTGCCCAAGTAAACGACTTTTGTACAAAGTCTGGTAAATATAAATGAGCATTTTTACCTAAAGAGTCTCGAAATATTAAATAAGGTATATACTATAATAATGTATTTTGTATGATTTAATTAAGATACAACTGTTCTCAGTTTGAATATTTTTTATAATGGTTTATTTATAATCTAAGAGTTTATTAAAATGTGCGCAAATAAGTGGCAATATTTTAAATTCTCCATATTAAACATATTAGTCATATTAAAACACTTGAAATTGTATGCCACAACGCACGTACCAACACATACGTGTTGTGTAAATACATGAAAAGTCATGTGTATAAATAAAATTTACGCAGAGCATGATCTTTTGTGGAATTAAAAATTATAAGAAGACGAAGTAAAGATAAAAGGAAATTTTATCTGTGTACAAAATGTTCCTAATTACACTGACCATTAGTTAAAAAAATTTTATAGTCGTGTTTTTTCAACGGTCATCGGCATAAGCCGTCTTTACACGCGTCTACTCAATATGAGCAAGGTAAACCAGTTACGAACATGGTAGTGTCATATATATAACAACAATATTTTGAGTTTAACTCTTTTACATATATATATATAGTCATTTTTAGTTTTATAATTATGAGAAAAATCTTACTTCTATAATTATACTGACCGTAATTGGCAACAAGGTTTGATTTAGAGAATAATGACTAGCCCAAAGATTCATAATAATGACAAGTTAAATTAAAAAAAATAATAAGTCTCAACTTTAAAATGTAATTTGTTAAAATAATGTCTATTCATTTGATAAGTACCTACTGATAAAATATGTAAAAAAGGTACTTATTTGATTGTGTATTTAAAAACTTTACAAATAAATGTCTGACTTGGAAAAGGTATAGACACCTAACAAATATTTTTTATTTGATACGTAAATAGCAGATTTTAACACATTTTTGTTACGTCAGTGACTTGTCGTGACTTAAACTCGACGTCGAATATTATCTGAAATTATCTTTCTAAAGAATAAAAAGAGATCTTTAAAATTAGAATCTGTGATTCCATTCATCAAATAACCACACACATCTGAGGATTACACGTGTAGGTATACTATATACTAGTAGCTTAGATTATATAGATAGAGCATCGAGTCTCAAAAACGGCTCAACTTTTAGTCAGCTAATTGTCAAATTAGCTGACTCGTTTTTTATCAGTGTTCTATATACTTACGCATATACTGTATCTTGACGTATCTATATTTAATTATTTAATAAGTAAAATGACTTTTTAGGCATTAAAAGGATGCAAAAATTATAATACAAACTAATTATAGAAGTTATAAAGGAAACGCTTATAACTATAATATTTATCACGCAAAATTGTATGAAAAAGTTGACCCGCTTTTCTCAAAGCATTTGTATGGAGACACTATCTATATAATTTAAGATTGTAATCCGCAGAAGTGGCAAAGTCAGGTAACACAGGATATTTCGTGGTATTTTTTCTCAAATATTATACACGATGGTTAACATTTTCCACTAGGTAGCTCGTAAGCATTTATAATTTTATGAAATTTGAAATTTATGAAAAATACATTATAATGTATTTTTTTTTATTTAGAAGTAATATACAAATTATTTATTTAATAATATTTTGCGAAAAACGTGCAGTATAATCAGAGCAAATTTAATTAATTTGATTTTCAATTACCCATTTGAAGTTATTATTAACAGAACTTTTAACGACAATGTATTTAACAATAAATGTATAAGTGCCATTTAAGATAATCTAGTTATTAATGTTTACCAAACATAGTTTTAATAGTAATTTACATTAATTTATAAGTAAGCTGCATATATTTACACTACAGCTACTATGTAAAGAAATAAAAAAAAGTATTTTTCGAAAATGAAGTATTATTTACACATATACTCTATTCAATTAAATATAAGTAAACGCCTTTGAATTGACACATATACTATATACGTATATAATAACAGACAATAATATTCTAAAATCAGCGTCAGCGATAATTATATGCAACATTAACAATGCGTAATGCAAAACCTATTGTATAATTTTTCTCTAATGACCTAGATATCAATAAATTTACCTATTCTAAATTTTGGACATTTACACAAATAGGAGATAGTATAATAAAAAAATGAATCTAAATATAGGATTTCTTTTTTCATTCAACTTAGAATGGCAAACAAACTGACGGCCCACATGATGGAAAATGGTAACCGTCACCTATAGACATGAGCAGCACTATGGACAGAGTATACGGTTACACCCATAATACCCCCCATGCATAGCCATTCCTGAGGACTCGGGTGTTATTATTCCTTTGTACCCTGTAAATTCACTGCCATATCTCACCCTTTAAACTAAAACAGTCATGCAAACACAACTTCTGCAAGGTAGAAACACGAATGAGACAGAGGCGCCCAAGCAAACGACTTTTGTACAGTCTCCCTCTGGTTCTTAGGAAGAGATGATATAAAAATAAAGTAGGTAATAGCGCAGGTCGCAGATTGTGGTTAGTAAGTATCATTTTTCTTCTATAGCGCAAATTATTTAGCAAAAGAGGCAAGGGAAGGATAACATAAGGTTAGAAGACTGATCATTTTTTGTCAAAACCTAGATAAAATAATATTTGTATGTAAAAAAATTAAAGCAATGTCCAGGGTTTTTACTAAGAGAAGCATAAAAATAAACTTACAGGCAGTTTGTAGGAAACAGAGGATGAAGTAAAACAGTAAAGACTGAGTGCAGTTTCTTTATCAAAAGGCATATAAGAATAGTAGAAGGCACAGGTTTTTTTAACAAGATATGTATTTCTATAGAGATATGTATATCTAAATCTTAGAGTTATACTCAAATATAAGGCATACTTAAATGTTATTCTCACGGTAAATAGTATTATCAATATAAGCTTATGTCAAAGTCTGTGGGATGGATGGAGTTTTACGGGAGACTAATAATATTATTTTATATTAAAGTATTTAATTTTTCTAGTTAATTGAGGTCTATGGCCGCGTACGACCTCTTTCAATTTACGCTGTGCAACGACACGACTTGTATGTGTGGATTCTTAAACGGAATCGATATGGAGTCATACCATGTAGGGTAACTTTTTGTTCTTGTAACTAGTTATATGGAAGTAATTTTTAAGTATTCATTCTGCGATCGCAGAAAACAGCTTTCTCAAAGGATCGTTACAAGTTCATCGTTTTATTGCACGTCTGCACAGACAGTAGACGTTTTGCTGTGGACAAAAGTTCCCTTTACTGTTTACTTGCATAATATGTAAGTATTTCTTTTTTTATGCTGTTTAAAACGGCATATGAACTTATGATCTACCTGATGAAAACCAACGTCTATAGATACGAAAATCACCACAAATATTTGTGATGTCTATGACACCTTTCATACGTTCTCATTTCTAAAGATTGTTGTTTTCTCCGTACTCCGTATAAACTAAAAGTATGCTGATGTATGTCTTTCGTCGGGCTTAAAAGTCTGGGCAGATGCGGCGAACAAAAATTAAAACTTTAATTATAATGTATCCAAAGGCTAATGACCTTTATTACTAGTTTATGATGACAAGACGGTTAGTACATATATACTGTAAGTAGTGGATGACCGTCTTTTTTAGAAGTCTAGTATCTTCTTTGAAAGTCAAAGATTAGGTTTAAGAATTTGCTCTTTGCTATTGTAAAAATATAGTTTTATTTATTTATTTTTATTTATATATTTATTTCTGTTAGCGACAAGGAAAAACAAATGTCATCTAAAACATAGTAATGACGACAGTTTAGAGCGACATTGGCCAATGATAAAATGAATTTGTTTCTCTGTTGTATAAATCGTTTCAGCTGACCTATTTAAATAGTAGTGAATTTTCTATTTTTATTCCATATGAACAAACAACTTCGATAAACATGAGAGGCAAAGTTTATCGATATGTACCTATATCAGTTTTCTTTAAAAAAATCATGACAGTTTATGATATAAATATATATTTTTAAATGATAGTATCATAAATGCTTAATCAAAATATAATGAAGCTATTATTTAGTATAAGTAGTTGCTACTAATGATCTCAAATCTAAATAATTACAAATGCAAAGTGTGATATTAAAGGAATATTTTTAATTAATAAATTAATCGCGTCGTGTTAAGTTCCAAAAATAAATTTAAACATTTGTCAAAAATACGAAAGTTTAAATTGTATGTATCATTAATTAAATGATTAAGTGGATTTCCATGAATGAAACAACACAGATTAGAAAAGGGAAATTTTATTCAAATTTACACAGGCAAAGCCACGGAATACAGCTATTGCAAAATAAATACGAAAATACAACAGAGTCTATGCAATATTTACGTAATGAATTATTTATTTATTCAAATAAAGTCTGCAAATGTGTAGAATAAAATAAACAGTATATTAGCATGAGAGTTTAATCATTTGGTTGGTAAAATGACGAATTAAAACTATATGAAATACTTCATCTAAGGATTTGGTGATTCCTCAATTTCGTTAACAATCTCGGTGGGTCTGAAGGTGTCTTCGTCGTCACTGTCGGGAGCAGCGCCAGGGTGTGTGGGTACGAACCGCTCTGGTTCTTGGGAGCGCGCTGCAGATTCCGTTCCTGGGGCCGACCACGATCCTTTTGAACGCTAGAAAAGAAAGTTGCTTATAATATAGCGTCAGTGTAAGTGGAAATGTCGAATTATTAAAATTATGTAGTTTTAAGATTATCGCAAATTCCATTTTTCTTCTTTGTATATCATCAAAATCTGGTACCAGAGAGAGACTTTGTACAAAAGTCGATTGCTTGGGTACCTCTGTCCCATTCGTGTTTCAACCGTGAAGCAGTTGTGTTTGCATTGCTGTGTTTCGGTTTGAAGGGTGGGATATGGCGTGAATTTACTGGGTACAGAGGAATAACACCTGAGTCCTCAGGAATGGCAACGCATGGGAGGTATCATGGGCGAAACAGTATAGTAGTAGTACTCTGTTATGTCCATGGTACTGCTCATGTCTATAGGCGACGGTAACCACTTTCCATCAGGTGGGCCGTCAGCTTGTTTGCTATTCTAAGTTGTATAAAAAAAAATCTTAAGACAGTTTTCCTGTTCATTTATTAATTACGACAAACAAAAGAAAAAAAAAATAGCTATTATCTTCAAACTACAAAAACACAATTAGGTATTCAGTATGCCACATTCACCGACGATAATTTTTATTACACAACGATATTTAATACATAATGAATTATTTTTATGGTCACACGTGCGCAATATATGCGCAATTATTTACATGTCAAGAATTAAATAGTTTTTTTTTTTGCTAAATGGCAGTCTACGCCTACATCGACTCAATACTATGTATTTTTATATACGTATTTACGCTAGGTTCCTTCCTGAGTGGTTAGATAGGGAATCGTGTTCTAAAGTTCTTTATCCACACTTATAGCTATTGACTCTTTCAGACTGTGTACTGATTGTTTGTTTATTAGTTACAAGATTTAAAAAAAAATGTATATATTAATAATTAATTAATATCAATAATTTTAAAGTATTACTAATTTTATGTTATGATCAAATAGATCAGCAGGTTTTACTCTCGAGTTTAATACCGATATCAATTGAATCTATTGCCAATGACAATGTCATCAATGTCGTTGTTTCATGTGAAACAACGATTAGAAATTAGGTTAGAATTGGGATCGGTTTGCGATAGTTTGCATTGGAAAGTTACACTAATATACATTATCAGAACAATATAGAATTATTATCTCGCTAGTATTGCAATTCAAGAGCGCGAAGCGTCTCAATTCCAATATCGATCTATTGGAATTTATTTCCAGAGTAACCCCACAGATATGATATTTAAACAGATTATAAAAATAAATACATATTACTTAAGTTTTGGACATATTTGATTGTCTATACAAATAACCGTTTCACTTATTTCATTGCTAAATAATTAAACTTCGATGCATTATTCCAGTTTGAATAGTAAGAGATGATAGTGAAGTGATGAGTGCAGCAATTTAAGATAAACCATATGTCTATCGTTTAAGCTGGACTTGCAGCAAGCAGTGTCTAAAAATAATTCTTATATTTCTGTTGTAATACGGTTGAATACTTATTTAAATTTTTTGTGTGTATGTTACGCAATAACTTCAATAAATTCTGAACCAGTTTTGATAATTCTTTAAATAATTGAAATTGACTTTTCCAGTATGTATACACCTAGTTAGGTAAAGTAGATAAATTTAACAAGATATACTAATCCACAATGACTGTTCTATGTTGTTAAGAGTTTCATTTAAGTACCATAATAAAATGGTTAAGTCTTAACAGCTAGTCGCAAGTCTGTCGTGAGTAATCAGTAAAATTGTAACGGATAGGGTTAATTGTAGCAACTTAAAATACATTAATCTAGTATTGTTATCACCAAGGCTAGTTTACAAAGAAAATACATACATAACTTATGTTTTGGTACATTTTCGAGGCCTAACTACTGGAATTTGGAAGATTTAAATTTTCATTGTCATTTTGGAATCAATCAACGGAGAAAGATTGTTTAGTTATTGTAATAAAATTTATTTGTAATTTATTTAACTTTTATTTGTGTCAAAACAAAAGAAAGCCTATGTTATTAAAAATAAAAGGGATTTTAAGTATGTCATTATATTATCAGTTTAAAGATTTTGACCATAAAATTACAAATAAACTTTATTACATTATCTAAACAATTTTTCTTCATGAGTCGATTTCAATTGTATTTATTTGTATGTATGTCTTTACACTTTTGTAGCAAGACATTTAAACATTTATTGAACATCTGTCTATCGCATGTTCAACTTTTTTGTGGTGAGATATCGTATGCCATAATTTTATACCAAAACTATTAGCATTCTTTTAAGACTGCTCAATCACTGAAACCGAACATTTTCTTAAAGAAACATTAGTCGAAATACGATAAAAAATGCTGAGCTTTCAATATTAACTTGTTAGAAATTAACTAAACTAAACATAACTTAAAAGAATTAACTTAATTAAAACTAAAAAAATTTTGCCATGTTTCTTTGATTTAAAATTCTATGCCATTGTTTTTGGATTTTTTTTATGCGAGTATGAACGGCAAATGAATGGAAAACGTGCGAAACACGTGATGGAATGTTGTAACTGTCTATAGACAAAATCGATTATGCCGACAATAATGGATACTACACTCCTCGCAAAAATTAAGGGAACATAAAATTTTTTGAAATTTTTGGGTGATTTTCAACAGGCTGTATTTCAGTGAAAAATAATCGTACAGGAAATTTAAAAAAAGGGTTTTGAAGCTTGAAAACTCTAGTTTTTAGATTTTTTGGTGAAAAAATTTTTTGAGCTCCGGTTTCCATGCAATTCTTAAACAAAGCTGAAAATAATTTTTTTCTAAATTTTCTAGGTTTCGTTTTTCACTCTATGGGCATGGAAAAATTTTTTCGAGCTACTCCATTGTATAGGTCTCTTAGCGTGTTTATTCAGCTTCAAAAATCGCTTTGGATGGCTCAATTACGACCATTTGTCTCCGAGATATCGAACTTTGAATGCAAAAGCATCCTTTTCCATTCAACTGCTAATATCTCTGGAACTACTGGTCGCACAGCAAGCGGGCGCCGAGTTTCTTTATCTGCATAAAATTTCCAATTAAGCACAGTCAAGAGTTAGTGAAGAAAAAATTTTTTTCCACCTCTAACATTGAATTGAAAAAAGTGGAAAAAAGTGACTTTTTCTCCTTTTTTGGTTACTTGGCTGTATCTTCGCTAATATGGGCGGGAAAGCTAAGGTTTGAGGAACATTTTACAGTCTATTGTTCCTTAAAGAACCCCCCAAATCCCTGGAGCGATCGGTTCAACGGTTTTTCCCGGACCAATTGATTGAAATTTTGGAAAAAATAAGGGAACAAGGTTTTTGTCCCTTAAACTCACCCTAATCCATTCAAAAATCAATAATTTCATTTGTTTTTCACTTTTTACTCAATTTTTTGTTTTTTAAAAATTCATTATCAAAAAAAAATCGAAAAAAATCAAGAAAATTTTATGCAGATAAAGAAACTCGGCGCCCGCTTGCTGTGCGACCAGTAGTTCCAGAGATATTAGCAGTTGAATGGAAAAGGATGCTTTTGCATTCAAAGTTCGATATCTCGGAGACAAATGGTCGTAATTGAGCCATCCAAAGCGATTTTTGAAGCTGAATAAACACGCTAAGAGACCTATATAATGGAGTAGTTCGAAAAAATTTTTCCATGCCCATAGAGTGAAAAACAAAACCTAGAAAAATTAGAAAAAAAATATTTTCAGCTTTGTTTAAGAATTGCATGGAAACCGGAGCTCAAAAAATTTTTTCACCAAAAAATCTGAAAACTAGAGTTTTCAAGCTTCAAAACCCTTTTTTTTAAATTTCCTGTACGATTATTTTTCACTGAAATACAGCCTGTTGAAAATCACCCAAAAATTTCAATAATTTTTATGTTCCCTTAATTTTTGCGAGGAGTGTAATATCATGCATTTAAAATATGCCGAATGAAATTAAAGGAGTGTTTTAAAGTGTGTTAAAGGAGTGTTTCACTGAGAGGGGCGATGGCGTGGACCAGTGTTGCCAGATTGTGTACTTTTTTTTTGCAATTTTGGGTAAAAGTTTTGATCTTGGAGTTAATTTGAAGAAATGGAACTTTTAGAGAAAAATAAAATCGAAGTGGAGAGTTTTTGGGGTTTGTACAGCTTATATAGAATCAGAGAACATACACCATTGAAGATAGTAAGATGACCTTAAAAGGTCAGCAAAGATGGTGTTGTTATCTTTTTCGGTCGTCGGTCGTGCATTGGTGTAACCGAATAAAAGTTTACGTTTGGATAAAACTATAGAAAATCGTATTAATTTGAAGAAAAAAAATATCGCATCTTACCTTAGCGTGAGCGCAGCTTTGTGTACCGCGCGACAGTCTAGTTACTAGATTAAAACTAGACTCTAGTATCTATTGTCTTGCTAGTAACTTGCGTAATGGGTCACTAACCTTTTACTTGCCATACAATAATATTGTGTTTGCTAATCGTTCACTTTACAGCCATTAAAAAGTTAATTCAAACAAATGCAGATAAGTTTAATATTAAATAATCCGCCGATTAGAATAGACATTTTATTGAAACTTTGTAGCCGATATGTTTAACAATGCGTTTACCCGTACGGGGTCGTCACTTAAGGACCATTAGACAACTAATATATATGTACTTAAATACCTACTTTTTAAATAGACAAAATAAGAAAGTACTCATATGTGTACTCACCTCGAACTGTTTGTTGGCGTTTCGCACTTTGTCGAGGTACATGTCGTAGACGTAGCGCGCCATGTGCGGCATGTCGGTCACGCGCAGCACGAGCGGGTCTGGCACGGCCGCTGCTGCCGCTCGCTGCGCCGGGTAACGTTCGCCTGGTACCAGTTCCAACTCTAGTGGCCGCTCTACCAGCTTCACCAGAAACAATAACGCATTATGTTAACACTTGAAGGTTGGGGGGGGAATGTTAGCAATATGGACTACCAGTCCCATTGCTAGCAATATACCTTATTAGGTCGACCTCCACGTGCTCCCCCCTGGAAATCAACGTGCTGAATTCCAAGTTTTTTATTTATACAACTTAGAATTGCAAACGGCCCACCTGATGGAAAGTGATAACCGTCGCCTAAAGACATGAGCAGTACCATGGACATAACAGAGTATATTGTTTCACCCATGATACCCCCCATGGGTTGCCATTCCTGAGGACTCAGGTGTTATTGCTCCGTACCCAGTAAATCACGCCATATCGCACCCTTCAAACTGAAACACAGCCATGCAAACACAACTGCTTTACGGTTGAAACACGAATGGGACAGAGGTATCCAACTAATCGACTTTTGTACAATCTATCTGACCTGCCTTTTCATTCTTGCTTGTCTTTGCATTCACTGATACCCTGCCAGTGTATACGGTTAAAGCAGGCGGGATCACCCATTAAAAAAGAACATCGGAATTGTAAATAAATTTTGCAAAATAATTGTATCAATTTCTATATTCTAAATTCATTATTGATAACATGGTCTGAAAGCTGGTGCTAATTAAAATATTAATTATGCAATAATCTCATATTAAACTACCACTGAAAATTTAGATTATGAAGGCAAAAAATGTATTTGTAAACTTCAGAAGTAAAATATAAAATAGGTTGAAAATTTCTAGTAATAATCTTACTTATAATAAATCTGTAGAGAGGTCAATTCTATACATGAAATATATTTCCAAAATAACTATCAGGGCGTGATTAGTGATCGATACTAATGCCAAAAATGCAATTTTTTTCTGCCTTTCTGTATGTTCGTCATAGAAACAAAAACTACTCGACGGATTTTAACGAAACTTGGTACAATTATTCTTCATACCCCTGAGCAGGTTATAGTATACTTTTGATCACGCTACGATCAATAGGAGCAGAGCAGTGAAGGGAAATGTTGGGAAAACGGGAGAAGTTACTCCATTTTTAAGCTTCCGTCGCGTGTGTAGCTTTAATGGCCACTTTTTTAAATGTAAAAATGTCCACCCGTGCGACGCCGGGACGGGCCGCTAGTAATATAATAAGTGTTACATTTATTATATGATTAACATATTTTCAAAAATAGATAATTCTGACGTTGTCTTATTTAGGTAAATATTATTATGAATATTCTAAAATATAAGACAAATTAAAAAAAGGATCACGTCATTAACAAGCTTTACAACAAGACTTATAAGTCTTAAATTTAGCGCAATATACTCGTATATTCATTCACAACGCTGTGCGTTGGCTAGAGATCAATGACCAATGTTTTAATGTCCACCGACAGTGAAAGTACCCGATACGTACGTAATTTAACACAATACTTGTATGTACAGACTTAATACAAAACGTATGTAAAGAGTTTTGCATGGCTTTATTTAATTGACCACGAAATTGGCAATGTCTTTTGTTTAGGTATATAATTTAATCGAATGATAATCTGTCATATATAACTTAATATACAAAAAAAAATTCAAAATGTTAGTAAAACAAATATCTTAAGAATGATGTCGCGTGATAATTTTATAGGTTTATATATAATGTTTACAAAATCTTTATAAATTTCCATCAAGATGATTTATGAAGATTGCTAATCATATTAGAGCAAGTAAACGCAACAGTGCAGCTGTTTAAAGTGTTCAATTTTTTACATTAGCTATTATATTGCCCGTAGCGTTACTAGCATCAACTCATTAATTTCTCTTCCTGTTTGAATTTCAGGAGATTTCTTCATACTGCTCACGTGTAATTTAATTCAATTAGGTGAACTATATAGCTGGGTTAGTTGATTAGAACTATTTTATTTAATTTTGTCACCGCACGTATGTGTGTGACTATCAACAAATAAACACAATAATTGTAATCAACTAACCAGTTATATAGACTTCTGTATACGGACTTTCGAAACCTAATTTAGTAAAATACAGCCAAATGTTGACTTAGTAACTTATAATACCCACAATGTATTATGCAAAAAATATAATCCTATAACGCAGTGAAGTTGAATGCAGCTTCACTGCGATACAAACAGTTAATGAATTGTTTGATGTTCTAGAATTTATTCCCGTTATAAAGACAGTGATTGCTTTATGTAAAAAGCACTAAGACATACGTTGTGCGTTGTAAAGGCAGGCTTATTTATACGATAAAAATATTGTGATATAATATAATTGGATATTCCATTTGGTAAATCTCATTAAATATAATTTAAAAAGTTGTTTTTGAGCCTCCTCAGTAACACAACACGTCGTAAGTTGGAAAAGGTAAAATTTATACCTTTTATATATGTATAAATTTTTTGAAGTTTTTTTTTCTTTGTATCATTAGTATAAGGTAAATACAATGAACAATTATTTTGGTCATTTTATATATTGTAGCAATACCGTAACTTGCATAATTATGAGTTGCATAAATATACCTTCAAGTAGTATAAATCAAAGTGGACGAAGGCAATCCGCGTCTGTCTATTTCTTTGCTTACTTCTTCTAAACCATGCAACAGATTTTAATATGGGCCTCGTTACAATTAGATATTTTTTTACGGAAACTTAGGAAAACACATACAAGTATTTTTTTTATGTTTCAGTCATTAACTGTCCACTGCTGAACATAGATCTCCCTCATAAGGAGGGGTTTTGTCAGTTGTTGCCACGCTTGGCAAGTGGGTTGGCAATCGCAGTTTGGCTTTTGGTGATGTTTTAAGAGAGACTCTGTTGCCCATCCCTCGACTATAAGCTCCCACATTCGCCTTCTCCCTAGTCTATGCCGGGACTTACACCGCTTTTTATGTATAATACACGTTACTTACAAAAGTTTAAAAACTTTTGTATAAGTAGAGAAATTTAATTCGTAACATTTTGGACCCAAGCGAAGCGGGAGGAAGGAGGCTTCTTAGTAAGTTTTAAATATTATAACAGTCATACCTGATTGAAAGTCGGTTGCAGTTCAAAACAGTTCCTGAAGAGGTTGGCCCTCGCAAATATGTAGAGGCCAAGACGGGCCCTGGACGCGGCCACTATGAGCCGACGGAGATCTCGCACGTGACCAACCGCTTTAGTCCGGACCAGGGATACCAGTGCGATATCATTTTGCTGCCCTTGGTATTTGTCCACTGTCGTCACCTATACGAAAAAGTTATTTATAAAAATTTTAATATATAATATAAATAAACATAATTATATAATATAAATAAATAAATAACATAAATAACACTTTCCATCAAGTGGACCGTAAATTTTTGCCATTCTAAATTGCAAAAAAAAAAATTACATTTTCATATAGAATATAATACCTAATGGGGTAGTCAAAGACAACGATATTCAAGTGCTATGTGAATGCGACAATGCTGCTATACTTTATCCATTTAAATCAAATCTCACATAGTTAGGGTTGTAACAAATTTATTCGCATTTAACAAGTAAGTTTACGATATTGCCCCACTTACGCGAAACATATGCGAGTGAGCGAATTGTGCGTGTGAGAGAACGCTCTTACTGCGAATTTCATTAGTCAGTGCGCCAACCCAATTATATTAAAAAAAAATTAGAGGAGTGCGTGTTCTACTTGGATATTTATTCTTGTGGCAAAAATAATTTAAAATCAACAGAAAGTTAAAATTAAGAAATCAAAATATTTTTTTAATATTGAATTGTTATTAGTTGTAAAAATTAAGCAGTAACCTCGCCTGCGCTATCGGTATACGCTGGCGGGACACCAGAGAGATTACAGGTGAACATGAAAGCGGGTCAGTAGGCCCATCGTAACCAATCCTATAAGATTTAACTACGATTGTTTCCAGGGGGAACCGCGTGGAAGATGATTCGATAGGGACATATTGCTAGCAATAGCATCGTTAGTCCCCATTACTAACAAATCTTTTCCCTTTACATTTACAATACGGCTTATATGCTTCCGTCCAATTCAGTAAGCAGATTCAACTGAAAAGAAATGATAATAAACTCAACTATTTATCTCTCTCACTTGTCATCCGTCACTGGTGTCTCGCCAACGTATACCGTTAGCGCAGGCGGGGTTATCGTCCAACAAAAAAACTCTATTATCATCCATTTAAAAAAATAAAACTATTTATCTCTATTGAAATAAATTTATTAATAAAATGTTCATGTATGTTGGGTTACTACCCTACATAGATATTTTTATGACGTATGACCGAATTAACGCAAAGAACGTTCGTCAGCTAAGTAAACGTTTAGGGAGTAACTTTGCTCTTGTGAGTAATTTTGCTCAGTAAACAAACCATAAGCATGTACCTAATTTAGTAATGCTACATGGGGATACAACGAACCTGTATTTGTTTATTCCATCTACGTATATAATTTGTCAATATCAATACAGAGGGGGGGAAAGGGATTGTTAGTGATGGAGACTGAGAATCTCATTGCTAGCAATATACCTAATCAGGTCGACCTCCTCGCGGTTCCCCCTGGATACTATCATGGTTAATTCCTGATGAATTCATCATGATGGGCTAACTGGCCTGTTTTCATTCTCATCTATCACCCTTCACTGGTGCTCTGCCAGCGTATACCGTTAGCGCAGGCGGGGTTACCATACCATTTTCACCCATCAAAAAAAAATATCAATACAGATTACCTTTATGATTTGTGTTATCTGTTTTTATTTTTATTTGTTTTTTAAACACAAACACGTGATGTATTATTTTATATCTTGTGTAAAGTATTACGAGTGTTTGAATAAACGATTCGTTATCTTTCTCTCTTACTGAACTAAACAAATATAGTTCATATGTTGCTGCATGCATAGTATTACTAAGCGACCTGTCAGTATGTTAGCGCAACTAACAATATTTACATAGTATAGACGTTGTTAGCATAATATTGAGATTTAGAACATTTAGGAATTTTTAAATTTTACTGTTTCTATGGGGTCTCTCAAATGAAAGATGACATTTGTTTTGGTTATTCCGTGAACGCAATTATTCTGAGGGGCGCGGGAGGTATGTTATTCGGTAGCCTAGCTTCTGGGAAATTAGGCACTATGGAGCGTTTCTCGGGAACGGATCGTGCGTTGTGCGTACGCGAGTTTTATAGAAACGGTAATTCATAAAGCTAATTTTCATCTCAATGGACATGTAAACAAACAAAATTGCCGATACTGAAGTGCAACTAATTCAAAACACGAATATCAGAAACTCTTACATTCGCCTAAAATGACTGTATGGGCTGCAATGTCGGCGCAAGGGATTATCGGCCCTTACTTTTTTGAAGATGAAAGGGGACGCACAGTTACAGTGAACTCGGATCGTTATGTGGAGATGTTAGACAACTTCTTTGTGCATGAACTGCAAAACTTTCCTGGTTATAACTAAAGAACATGGTTCCAGGCAAGACGGAGCAATTTCACACACGTCCAACAGGTCTTCACCACGAGTTCGTGAAATTTTTCCTGGCAAATTGATATCCAGGAGAGGTGACATAAGTTGGCCTCCACGAAGTCCCGATTTAACCCCTATGAACTTTCTCATATGGGGTTACGTCAAATCTAAATTTTATGACAACAAACCGACTTCCTTGACACAATTAAAAGGAAATATCCGTCACGAAATGGCAGCCATCACGGACAATACATGCCGAGCCGTCATAGAAAATTTTACAGCTCGATTAAATAAATGCCGTGAACGCAACGGTTTACACTTAGACGATATCATTTTCAAGAAATAAATTCCCAAAAAGTGTATTTTAATATGTAATGAACATTTTTTTAATAAACTCCTTGATTAATTTTTTATCGATTTTTTTAAATATGAACTTTCTTTTATGTCGCCTTGTATTTTCTTATTGGTTTATTATTCTTCTTCCTACCCTTATCCCAATTATTATATGGGGTCGACGTAATATGTTTTTTTATCCATATCACAAAAAGATTTGGCTTAGTTTTACGATTACGACCGGAAGCACGCCTGATTATTTTATTATTTTCTTCTAATTCATAAATTATTTTAAGACCAATAAATATTTCCTACTAGTTTTTATCGGCGACTTCGTCTGCGTGACCGGGGTATGTCGATCGACTTGGATAAATATAGTCGCTGTTTTCGCCTTTTCCATTTCAAATATAATTTGTATATTGAATATAATGACGAATAAACGAACTGTTATAGAACCAAACAAACAAGTAGTTTGGCAACAAACAAACAAGCAAATAAACAGACTCATATTTACATTTAGTTACTGCTTAGTTTAGAACTAAATGGTGCTATGTTACATCATTATCTCAGCCATTTTCCTATCATGTCCTGTATGTAGCATGTCCAAGAGTAATTATTTATAATATTAGTAAGGATATATATAGTACATTACTGCAGCGGCCAGCAACTGAGGCATTGATGGACGAACGCACAAATGTGGGCCGAGGTGTAGCCGAGGCACACATACGTGAGTCCATCAATGCCTAGTTGTGGCCAAGGCTTGTATAGTACTTTTCTCAAACAATGCGCGGAAATCAAAAACACAATTTATTTTTTAAATTCAATGACGAATAAAGAACAATAATAATTTTTCACGCGCCATCATGTTCCCTTGTTTTTTTTTTTGCAATAAACAGCTTTCTATTTGCATGCCAGTTCGAAATTTAAATAAAACCTTGTATTAGTTACCTCCTCGGTAACCATGTTTCTAAGTTAAAGTTCATTTCATTTTTAAATTACAGGACAGATATGAGTTTACATAGTAATTTATCTGGCCGCAAAACACGACAGATATGGATTTTCATAAAAGTTTTGCCGGCTGCTGCCCGCATGTATCTGATCAGTACGGCAATTTTGATTTATCTCGAAGAAGATTGTCAAAATAATGCTCACATTTCCAAGCATGTTTGAGAAATATCTATTTACCTTATGCGGGCGGCCGATAAGAGGGTTCTCCGCGCACCGCTTATCGATGACGTCACGGATGAGGTGCTTCTGCCCGTTGTAGGTAGTGAGCACGGAGATACGGGACGCTGGCCACCCCACTAACCGCATGTACATGAACACGGCCACAACGTACTCTGCTTCCGCTAGATTCTATGTGAAAACGTGCAAAAATATTGTATCAATAATAATAAAATTATTATTTCTTAATAGAAACAACTATACTATTTCCTTCTATTATTGTACGCACACTGCCTGTTGGTAATGCTCCTTTACACTTACACGGGTTTGCTGGAAGAGAACTCTTACAGAGTTAAGCTAGCCTGTTGTACATCTTTATTTAATGTACATTTGTTATATGTTTGTAATTTTTTGTGTACAATAAAGTATAAATAAATAAAAATTTATTCATCACCATCATATCAGCCGTTAACTGTATTTAAATTACACGAAAATTAAACCGGCACTTATTATGTTAATATATATTGTGTATTTACGAAACTTTTAACAATAAAATATATAACAATATTTAGAGTTGGAAGTTTTTTATCTAGAGCCTAACACTTGATATTGAACCTGAAATCTACCCACGTACCTGGTAGAAGTAAGGACTGGGCTCCGTTTCCCCGGCGCCGTTGAAGTCGTCCACGTTGATCAGCTGGAAGTCGTACCGAAGGCCGGCGTTGGCAGCGCGATACTCAGGCAAGCGGCAAACGTGGCCCAGATCACCCAGAGCTCGATACCGCCATCGGTACAAGTTGCAGATGCTAAACAACAAATATGTTTTTTTTTTTTATTTAATATAAATAGACAAACAAGCTTACAGCCCACCTGATGGAAAGTGGTAATCGTTATAAATACCTAAACAAGCTAATGGAACGTGGTAACCGTGTAACGTGGTAACCTATAGACATGAACAGTATCATGGACATAACAGAGTATACTTATATATTTTATATATTTAAGTTAGCTATATTACAGGTTAGTTGGTTAGAATTTTCAACCTACTTCAAAAAGGAGGTTTCAATACGGTTGTATTTTTTTATGTTTTTTGACTTTTAACGCCAGTCAGTTGTAAACTAATTTGGTAGATTCTTTTCTATCCAAAAAGATATATTTACATATTGAATTCATACCCATAACATACAATACCCATGACATTGAATCAAGATATAAATGGTTTATACATAAAACTATTAACTCGTATGGTTTATACCAGAAAAAATGCAAGATTTTAGAAAGAAAAAAGTATTTATAAATTTGGAAAAATATAAATTAGTTCGTACTAGTAACCGGGTTTGTTTTATTTCTATCTCATTTCTAAATTGGAACAAACAATACAGATTCAGAAAATCTTTTGAGTGCAGACGAGCGCCATCGCACTCGTGCGCATTGCAACTAAAAGTGCCACGAGCGTCATAGCGCTCGTGAAATCAATCGCTGTTTAGCTTGCTGTAAAAAAAAAATATTAAAATTGGCTAATTTTTGGAGGAGATACAGTTTTTTTAGAGACAAGGTTAAATGACACCAACACGACAAAGATTTCTTTGGCATTTTTAAGTAGATATGAGTAAAAATCAATGGCACTAAAAGGGTTAAAATCGGTCGAACAGTTTCGAAGATTACTTGATGTTAATCTCTAAAATCGTGACACGGTAATACTGAAATCGTAACAGGGGATTTATTTTATATTAAGATTATATCTTACCTGGGTCTAGCACGACCCTGTGCGTCCAATTCCACGTAAGGCACACCCAAACGCACCATCCTGGTGAAGAGACTCTGTTCCATATTGCAGTACTTCTGGAACGCCATGTTCTTCACCACCGGCGGCAGTTGGTGGTGATCCCCGATCATTATCCACCGCTTGAGCCTCGAACGGCCGTCTTGTGGATTTTGCAGGAGCAGCGGAATGAATGTCTCGATTTCCAAGATTTGTGCTGATTCCTCCATTAGTATGTTGTCGTATTTGAAACCTATAGAATTTTCGGTATTAAATTATAGTGTAATAGTAAGTGAATTATCATGATATTATGCATAAAAATATTTTTCCAAAAATGGTAAATCGACTTCAAAAGAAGGAGGTTCAATTCGGTTGTATTTTTTTTTATTACCATGTAACTCCATCAGTTGTAAAGCGATTTGAAAAATTCATTTTTTATTTGCAAGGATATACTTATAGATTGGTATAATAGAAATTTTATCAAAATCGGTTTAGTATTTTAGTTTTTAAATCAAAATAACTAGTTTTGTCAGAATTAAAGTCTGTTTTTTTTAGGACACAACCTTTAATTATTTTTGCCCAAAATATTCAGGGCTAGCTTAAAAATGCATAATTAAAATCTTAGTTCATAATCAGAGCTCTTTTTAAATAATCCATCAGAAATATTGAAAACTGTTCAATCGTTTTTACATATTTATCTGTCAATTTGATATTCCTACGTAGCTTTCGGTACATATGGATATGAATGCATGAAAACATAGTTTAGGAAATTATGTTCCTAATCATAAATTCTTATTACAACTCTGACCCACCCACCACTTAATGATGGGCGGGTCTCATTTGATCATTTATTAATGACGTGTTTTATTGTTTGTTGATGTATGTAACAGACTAACTTGTGATATCACGTAGTAGATATTTATGCACATTGACTCATCTATTAAATGTCAAATTATGTAAATAATCCACGCATACGAAGTCGTGGGCAAAACGTCATCATCATCATTTCAGCTATTATTCGTCCACTGCTGGACAAAAGCCTCCCCTATAGACTTCCTAAAGAACGGTCCTGGGCCACCTGCATCCACTGACTCCCTAGGGTCGTCCTATACTGTGTTTGCTTGTACGGGGTCGCCAGTAAAGAACCTTTTTTTCCCCATCTATTATCGGTTCTTCGGGTTATATGACCAGCCCATTGCCATTTCAGTTTGCTTATCCTTCGGGCTATGTCGGTTACTTTACTCTTGGCAGCATCAAGGCAAAAGGTAATACTGTATAGTCGTACATTTAATACATTTGAGTAAGCACTTTGTAATGATTGATAGATATTTCTTTCGTAACAATTGCATAAATTTTAGCCTCAAGGCGTTTTCATCATCACCATATTAGCCGTTTACTGCCCACTGTTGAACATAGGCTTCCTCCATATTTGATGATGATCCACAACACCAGCGGCATTGCAGGTGTGCTGTCGGCCTTTTAAAAAGGAATATACTCTTTTCTTGAAGGTTGTGATGTCGTATCGGTTCGGAAATACTGCTGCTGGAAGTTGATTCTAAAGAATGGTTGTGCGTGGAAGACGATTTATTTACAGAACCAGAATTTGCACCATCTGCAGTTACTGATGTGTGTAATCTATCTGCTGATGCTATAGCTCGAAATATACCTTCTTTGAACTCTATAAGCACAGTAGACGTTTTAGAGATACAAAGCCATAAAGTTATATCTGTTACCTTAATGGCACGACGCCTGTATCAGTTACGAAGAGAATACGTTCACATGTGATATTTGTGCAATAGCAAATTAAGTTTACGTGCATACACTTAACCGAAGGTGTGCGGATACTTTCCCGCCGATGCGGATGAAAACCCGCGTTTCCCTTGTTCATTAAATGATTAAATAAAACTAATAGTTATTGTTACAATTGAAATTTTATATTTTGTTTTTCTTCTCAAATGTTTATAACATTAAAATAAAAGTTTTTTTTCTTTTCAATTATCAAAATCTTTTATTCTGGAAGCAATTAACTAAAAAATGCGTACGTTTACCCCACATGACTCTACGTATTATTTATTTTTACACATCGCTATGTACAAAAATAGACTTATCTTTAGTATTCATATTACTGGCATGTGCAGATATAAATGGATGAATTACAATGGAAATATGCATGATATGGTACAGTCGGCTAGAACAATATCTGTAGACGGAATGGAAAATACATACAAAAAAAAATTTTTTTAGCTATTTATGACATTCATTGGCACGCGGGTAGGTTATATTATGTGTTAAACGTAGGACATTTTATGTTTTGACAGTTTATTGTATTGTTTCACGCGGGTCAAGTCGCGGGATACTGTTAGTGTTAACTAAAAGAAATCCTACTACATAAACTACTATTATAAACGAGAAATTTTGTGTATATGTATGAATAGATGTTTGTAACTGTTTTACGTATAAACTAGTGAATAGATTTAAATGAAAATTTATATACGGGTAGGTGATATCATAACTTACCACATAGAATACTTTATTCACGGATACACGTAAACAAAGCCGCGGGAAAATGCTAGTAAACAATAAAAACTCACCCATTTGTACAAGTTCAGATCGTTTTAAAGCAGCATGCGTACAAGTCATAGCTATAATTTTGGCTTCCTTCACTAACAAGTATTTGGAGCGATCCAATCCCGATCTCAGCAATTCGAATGCTCTAAACTCTTCTAATTCTTCAAATATGTGGTCGATGTACCTAAAAATTAACAAATAGCTTTTATCATTTCTTTCGGGGAAAGTATTGTTTCTATTTTGTTCATATGAATTCTTTTTATTTTTATTTTTGGATTGTGTAATTTCAGTGGAATGTATTTTGTTTAATTATTATTTAAACACATATCGGTTGGGGGCCTGGTGATCTGTACTACAGGTTTAACTTATTACAGACACCAGCTCCTCACAGCAGAGTTCCATATTATTTTAATTTTTTTTGTATCCTAAATACCTATGTGTAAATTTAAGTTGTTTGTGAGGAGATATAAATAAATATATTATTATTATATGAGCGAATGTGAATAGACAGATAGATTTCCATAGTTATTTAGTATAGATTTAAATACAGAGTTTCATTTATTATTCTTTTTTATTAAAAAAATAGAATTAAAGTTTTTTTTTTCTATTAAATATTTAATTTTGATTTTCGTAACCTGTTCTATTCCATCTGTTGAATAATGCATTTTTAAATATATTTGTGCGTAACTTTTACAAATTCAAAGACCTTTCATATACACCATGTATATGTAGGCATACAGATATGTACCAGGATTATAGCGTACACGATATTTTTAGCCTTAGCGATTTTATGACTGTATTGTGTGTTGTGCATTACACAACGAAATGTGTATGCAACGGAAGGAATGGAATGCCTTAACACGATTGGTCATGCCATACATTTACAGTTAATTTATTCTTTAGATTATAAAATTGGCAATGTATAAGAGAGGAAACTTAATAACATATACGTTAGAAATAGAAAAGTAAGACATTCATTTAGACGTTTAGATACCAGAGGGAAACTTTCTACAAAAGTCGATTGCTTGGGTACCTCTGTCCCATTCGTGTTTCAACCGTGACGCAGTTGTGTTTGCATGGCTGTGTTTCAGTTTAAAGGGTGGGATATGGCGTGAATTTACTGGGTACAGAGGAATAACATCTGAGTCCTCAGGAATGGAAACGCATGGGGGGTATCATGGGCGAAACAGTATACTCTGTTATGTCCATGGTACTGCTTATGTCTATAGGCGACGGTTACCACTTTCCATCAGGTGGGCCGTCAGCTTGTTTGCCATTCTAAGCTGTATAAAAAAAAGACATTATTTATACATACAAAATATAAGCTCGAAGGTGGTTTGGCGGGAGTATGTACAATTTTTTTTTAATTTCAAAGATTATTTAGTTTTAACTGATAATCGAGTGTTATAGTTGGTCGGAGTTAAATGTGTTATTCCAAGATATAACAAAATTGCACATTTTTCACGTAATTACGTTATAACAGTTTATGTTTTGAAACGCGGGTTAAAGCTAGTAAACGTATATGATATAAATACCTGTAACAACTTTTGGCTATTTCCATATCATTTTCAAACGATTTTCCCGGAAACAGTGGCTTCGGGGCATCATCAAAGAACTCGTGGAAAGGAAATTCTTTACTTATGGTTTCTGTGGATTTTGTCTGAAACAAATCACGTATATTAGTAATACGCGGATGCAAAACTGATGGAGTTGTGGTCAGTTTGAGCAAAATGTAAGTCTTACTACAAAAAAAAATTAAACTTGCGATAGACAAGTGTTCAATACCAATTTAGACGTTATAGTACAAAAATGTGCCTTACATTTACTTATGTAAACGAAAATCTATGTTATTAAAAATAAAAGACGTTTAAAGTAATAAAATTTGTTACAGATTTTGGTATATGAATGTATAAATAAACATTATTACACTGCCTAAAAAATATCTAATCATTTAGAATTTTGTTAAACACTAGATAAACAATGTTTCAAAAATGTTTTATAGCTTACTGTGGTAGTATTGTGGTGGTAGTGTTAAATTGTGAAATAAAAAATTTACTGATGTTTTAGAAACGAAATCGTCGTGCCTGCTATCTTTATCGTGATGCGATTTACATATTTTTTTTCGTTCTGAATAAGATGAAAATCGCAGATATTAATCGGCCTCGTGCATTTAGGGTTCTGTACAAATTATAATTAAAAAAGGTTTGCAAAAAACATTTTGTGATGTAACTACAAATTTACGGTTTTCGGATTTTGATCATTATTCTTTTATTTATTTTAATTTGTTAAGGCATATCAACAATACAAATACATCCATTGACAACGTACATTAAAAACGGAATATAGTATTTGTATCAATTATAGACATGCACAACATTGAAACAATACATTGTCACAAAAAAAGGTAAATATTATACATATAATTTTGTTTCAAAAAGACTCAAATCAATACCTTTAGATAACCTTTTAGCCTTAAATGTTTGTGGTTGATCATGGAATATATCTAATTTTTTTTTTTATTTTATGCAGACTATTACAAATGATTATCAACCTTGTTATAGTCCCATGTAACCTCAAATTGCACTATAAGGAGGAACTTTAAATAAATATTTATCCTTGAATTTTCAAGTACCTAGTCTGGGGACGTATAACGATCCTGTCAAGCAAACCTTTACCAGCGATGACACTTAACAATTTTCTGTAAAAATACAAGGTCATGCATTCGCGTTCTGTTGGCTAACTAAAATTTTAAGTCCAAAAAACCATATATATAGATTAAAAAATAATTAGATGCCATTGTTACCTGATCCTGCGCACATTTCTCCAGAAAAGCTGTCCACCTCGGTCGTACGTGGTAGACATGGAAGTGATGTGCCAGTTCACAGGTGGCGCCAGCATCACCGCCCGCGTCCAACGTCTTTTGCAGCCGACCTACCATATCGAGCAGCTCGAGCCTCTTCGCGAGGACATAGTTCACTCGGCCGTATCTAAAAAAGGAGTTTCATCAGCATCATCATCATTAAGAGCTTTTTTCCATTACTTAGATTTGGTATTGCATATTCTTACTGTTAATATTTATCACCATATCAGCCGTTAACTGTCCAATGCTAAAGATAGGCTTCACCTATAAAAGAGGTTTTGTCAGTAGTTGTCACGTTTGGTAGGCGGGTTGGCAAGCGTAGTTTTTTGGTGATGTTTTAAGAGGGACGCAGCTTTTTTTTTTAATGGGTGACAATGAAATGGTAACCCGGCCTGCGCTATCGGTATACACTGGCGGGGCACCAGTGATAGTTAACAGATGAAGGCAAGTCAGTCGGCCCATCGTGAAGAATTCAACAAGAATTAACCCGATGATTTCCAGGGGGAACCACGTGGAGGTCGACCTGATAGGGTATATTACTAGCAATGGAGCTGTCAGCACCCATTACTAACAATTGCTTTCCCTCCCGAGGGACGCAGCTGTCGATCCCTCGTCCATTACGTTCCCTGAATCGTTCTTACGACACCAACGGGAAAGAAAGGGGTAGCACATTCTATGCCGGAACTACACGGCAAAACTCTCAATATTAGTATTCAATAATTTTTGACAGTTCTGACTCAGTCAAGAAGGTTGTTTTAAAATTTTAGATTTTCCTGTTTGGGAACAATGGTAATACGTTTATTAACAAATAGTATTTAGTTTTTATTATTTATATATCTGATATTTATAGTAAGAATTCCAGGTTATGTATTAGACTGTCAGTAAGATATATTCCAGATCTGTTTGCAAACATTGGAAGTTTCAGAGTCAGTAATTGTTTTAGTTATTTTATAATGCTATTGCTTCTGCATACTTTAAACAACTTGTTATACAGTATTTTGGCAAATATCCAGTAACATTAATTTAATTATATCGCCAAACATATAAGAATTTGAAAAACAGTAAATACATGTAACTTGCGGGCGTTGCATAAACGAGCCGCTTATTTTACTGCATGTTTTCTTTGGCATCGACAGATATAGTGTATGATCTCAGGATGGCTAGAATTACGTTTATTATAGCTAAAATTTTTTCTGTAGGCGTGTACGATAGTAGGGAAGAACGAATGAGCATCAGCCAAGTTGAAAGTCAGTCATTAAAGCAGATAACAGGTAGCAAAGGTAGAAGAAATGTCACTTAACTACTTTATGTATTTTTTTTTAGTGGGTGATATTATAATAAAATAGTAGCTCATCGTGTTGAATACACCTAGAACTCAGTACGATAGTTTCCAGGGGGGACCACGTGGAGGTCGACCTGACAAGGTATATTGCTAGTAATGGTACTGATAGTCCGCATTATTAACAATCTCCCCCCCCCCCCCCCACACGTCCATATATTAGTTTTGGCTTCTGTTCAATATTCATATTAGAAACTTATATTTACAATTGCTAGATGATTTAAAGCTCATTACATAATTGAGGTAACTCAATATCGTCGCAGTACAAAAGGCAAATTTTATATATGTTATTCGAGTTACTAAAAGTTAAATATTTCAGATAGTCGATATTTTATACAACCATAAGCGTAACCATAAAGTAAAATGCATAGCATTTGCCTGAAACATGATCTTTCAAGCTTTTAGTTGCTATTCCAGTTAAAAAACGAAACGCAAGGCATCCCCTTCGAATGGCTATATCCGTGCAGCGTCATAAATTTCAGTCATATTTATAGGAATGATTTCATTTAGCGCTGGTGGCCATTTATTCGAATTAAAAAAAAAACACTTCAATCAACAATACCAACCAGACATCCGGCAAAAAAGGCATGCTTTAGTTACAGAGAGAATACCTGTTTCTAATAGTTTGAAACAACGCTTTATAAATAGCATTTCATATGTAATTTATAAGGTAGAATTTTTTTAATTTTTCGAAACTTGTGTTTTTTTTTATGGATAGAAATGGAATGATAGCTTCGCTTGCTGACAGGGCACTATAGCTTTACCAATAAAGGATAATTGGTGAGAATAAAGTGAGGTTGACTCAACATGGCCAATTAATTAGGATTTAACTGCGATGGAACAGACCGCGTCGATATCAGCGTGGCAAGATTTATTGTTAGCAATAGGCTCTAGAGTTTACCCTAATAACAATTACCTTTATTTATTCACTTAAATAATATAGTGTAAATAAATAATATCATTGTTCTGGTGGTATGATATCTGTACCAAGTTGGTATTATTATTTGAAGAAAAACTTTAATCAATCTGTATATAATAAGTTTGATTAATATTAATTATTTTTATTGAGAATAAACACACACACAAACACATACACTTGTGTATACCGTAATAATCTACCAAATATACATATATTATCTGGTACTCATGTTATTTCCAATAGTAAAGTTCTGTTATTGCACATATTTCTTGTTTTATCTAATTTTAATTTCGTCGTGTGGTCCCGGCATAGAAGGGCCACCTCTATCTATGCCGGGACCACATGTTCTTTTATTGTGATGGGGTTAGAGACAACTAAGGGAACTTAATGGGAGGGATGAGCAGCAGCTTCCCTCTTAAAACATCACCAAAGCCTAACTGCATTTGTTAACTAGCCTGCCAAGCGTGGCAACTACTGGCAACCCCCCTTGCCCTCTCCAATAGCGGGATCTTATGTTTAGCAGGGAACAGTTAATGGCTGTTAGGATATAATCTAATTTTAAAACCCGTCTCATGAATACACTTTATCATGAATACAATTCTGGAAATCCATAACAGCTTTCTCAGGTAACACAAGGTCCATCTGACCAAGAAGACACAAGAGAATCTTAGAAGCGTCCCTAAGTATCTGCATTATTTTGCAAATGACCTTGATGGTGTAGCAGTTTAAAATACCGCCTCACATTCTGATTTCGATTAAAATATCTAGCAAGCAGGAAATAACAAAAGGTCGTCCAATCATCCGTGTATTTGAACTGCTACTCGTGTCTGTCTGGTGACATCTTGAAGATTTCCGGATGAAGTCGAAACAATTATTGAAAACGATAAACATAGTAAGTTCATGTTGATATGTAATAATGAACATACCTAGAAAAGTCTTTCTCTGTTTGCAGTGCTTCTTCACCGTGTCCGAGACGGAGCAAATGTCGTTCGTCCACATCGAGTTCAGCGACTTTCTCGAACAGTTGATTAAGTGCCTGATTACTGTGGGTGACCACCAGAGTGCGCTGCCATGGGAAGTTGTGGTATAAGTTCGATATTATTTGTACAGCAACGTCCGTTTTACCTGATAAAAAATAATGATGATTGAATTAGTTGGTCATCGATTTTTAGATTGAAGTTTCAATTTTTATTAGCATCCATAATAATTTCAAAAAGGAACACGCGCTGAAGAACAAAGTTTTGGAGCAAGGCATCGAAATGATGATAGAGTTTTATAGAGTATATTCTTAATTCAATTATTTATATGAAAGGAACTGCACAACACAATATCTAGAAATTGGATGGTAGCCATTTTGTATTCATACTTGCAGTGCAAATTCTTTGTGATGATGGAGTTAGGAAATATATGAAATTAATATTTTTCATTTTTACGAAGTTATAAGAACCGACTAAAGGAACAAAGCAATTTAAACCATGGCAAAAAAAAACTTAAAAAGGTTTTTTTTTATACAACTTAGAATGGCAAACAAGCTGACGGCCCACCTGATGGAAAGTGGCAACCGTAGCCTATAGTCATGAGCAGTACGTGGACATAACAGAGTTTACTGTTTCGCCCATGATACCTCTCATGCGTTGGCATTCCTAAGGACTCAGGTGTTATTTCTCTGTACCCTGTAAATTCACGCCATATCCCACCCTTCAAACCGAAACACAGCCATGCAAACACAACTGCTTCACGGTTGAAACACGAATGGGACAGAGGTACCCAAGCAAACGACTTTTGTACAAAGTCTCCCTCTGGCTACGTAGTATAGTACTAAGCCGGCTGACTAACTTGGTAATAGTTACATTCTCTTATTCTTTACTCTTCACAGTGGTATTGTATTGTAAAATTTTTATTTGTATTAGATACATTAAAAAGATTTCATATAGAATACCGGATTTATATTTTATGGTATACCAGAGGGAGACTGTACAAAAGTCGATTATACAGCCGGCGAATAAAACGCAATACTGTTTTGCGAACAAACACAAACCTGTTCCCGGTGGTCCAACCACTAAAGTCAATCCTGGTTGCATTCCAGAACGGATCGCCTCCACTTGCGTCGGTGTAAACAGTATATTGTTTCTGAAACAATATTATTATTTGGATAAAAGAAAATATTATAATTGTAATGCCAGAATTCAGACACATTGGTGAGTCAGTCCATTCTGCCCGCCTGCATAATAAAAAGTGATAATTGTATACATGTTGCAGTCAAAACTCTTAACCAGTCAAAAGTACTTTTGACCGTATGCTTAAGTCTATAATACTTTTGATTAAAGTAACAGTTAAAAGTACCTAACCTAACCTAACCGGGGGAAAGGCATTGTTAGCAATGGAGTTTGACAGCCCCATTGCTAGCAATATGCCCTATTAGGTCGACCTCCACGTGGTTCCCCCTGGAAACCATTGTGAACAATTCTTGTTGAATTCGTCACGATGGGCTAACTGACCTGCTTCATCCTCACCTATCATCCTTTACTGGTGCCCCGCCGGTGTATACCGATAGCGCGGGTGGGGATACCATTCCATTAACACCCATTAAAAAACCTAACCTAACCGGGGGGTAAAAGGAATTGTTAGTAATGGAGACTAAAATCCCATTGCTAGCTATATACCCTACTAGGTCAACCTCCTCGCGGTTCCCCCTGGAAACTATCATGGTTAAATCCTGATGAATTCATTATGATGGGCTAACTGGCCTGTTTTTATTCTAATCTATCACCCTTCACTGGTGCTCCGCCAGCGTATCCCGTTAGCGCAGGCGGGACTACCAAACCATTTTCATCCATCAAAAAAAAAAGCAAATTTGCAGTCAAAAGTACTAATAAGCAATAATTTTCAGTCAAAACCACTTTTGACCAACCTGTTCAGTGAAAAGTATTTTTGACTGATTTTGATAGTCAATAGTACTTTTGACTGGTTAAGAGTTTTGACTGCAACATATAAATATAGACAGTATTATACGCATGATAGAACATTTTTTAATGGGTGATGATTTAATAGTAACCCCGTATGCGGTATCGGTGTACGCTGGCGGAGCACCAGTGAGGTATAGGTAAGGATGAAAGCGAGTCAGTTTTTTTTTAATGGGTGATAATGGAATGGTAACCCCACCCGCACTATCGGTATACACCGGCGGGGCACCAGTGAAGGATGATAGATGAGGATGAAGCAAGTCAGTTAGGCCATCGTGATGAATTCAATAAGAATTGTTCACGATGGTTTCCAGGGGGAATTACGTGGAGGTCGACCTAATAGGGTATATTGCTAACAATAGGGCTTTCAATCTCCATTGCTAACAATCCCTTTCCCCCCAAGCGAGTCAGTTAGGCCACCGTGCCAAATTCTAGAATTAATAACAATATTGCTAGCAATGGGGACGTTAAACCGCATTACTAACAATCTCTTTCCACCCGGCAGAACATATTACATTGAGTCCTGAGGAAGGAAGAATAACAACATAGTTCACAGGACTGTCAGTGCATGAAGCGTATCATGGGCATCATAGTATACTGTAATATCCACGGTGTTGTAGATGATTATAGGCGACGGTCATTACTTTCCATCAGGTGGACAGTAAGCCTGTTTAATATTTATATTATCAATATTTATACATATTATCTATCTAACTATATGATGAGAAGTCTGTTAATTTTAAAAATTCAGAAGCATCAATCTGTTTTCATATACATTACACTTTTATCTCTTTTCATAGAACTGATGTCAAATGGATACAGTTGATTAGCAATAAACAAACGAATAAAATGTTTACGAGACCAAGAAATTTACATAATGACGTCACAGTCTGATATAGATCATCATTTCAGTTATCATAAGCGTTTTATTGTTGTTTTTACTTTACCACATCAAATATCGTCAAGTCATATTTTCTTAAATTATGCCAAATATAATATAAAGATATTTTTATTTTTATATTTGATTTAAATTAAGAAAAAATCTTAAAGTGCTTCCTTTATCGAATTTTATTATTTAAAAATAAAACATACAAAAAAGTAATAATATGCTTGATAAACACTTGAGAATAACATATAAATAGTTTCACAATCTGAACATGGGACTATATACGGGGATATCGGTCAGATTATAAAATATAGGTAAATAAATCTGTGAAAGATATACATAACTTATAAAGTTATATCAAATTGTTTACTATATATATATATATATATATATATATATATATATATATATATATATATATATATAAATTCACGGCAAACCCTTCGCGAGGTAGGCAGAGAGCCTTGTTTTACAGGAAAAGTATAGAAAATTAGATTATACATATACAAACTTTTTGGGTTCATTGTACAAATAGGGTCCCCTCTTGGGCTGCACGTGTGGTTCCACTACAATCACTTTGCGCTCGTCATCTTCGTCCATCGCGTCGTCGCCGAGTTGCTTCTTGCGTACGACGTTCTCAAATGTTAACCTGAAAATTTTAACATTTATAAGTAAATAATTCTTACTTGCAACTTCGTCCGCATACCAAGGACATTCTTTGACAGAGACAAATAGTAATCTATGAGGGGGAATGGGATTGTTAGTAATGGAGACTGAGAATCCCATTGCTAGCAATATACCCAACCAAGACGACCTCCTCGCGGTTCTCCCTGGAAACTGTCATGGTTAATTCCTGATGAATTCATCATGATGGGCTAACTGGCTTGTTTTCATCCTCATCTATCACCCTTCACTGGTGCTCTGCCAGCGTATCCCGTTAGCGCAGGCGGGATTGCCATACCATTTTCACCCATCAAAAAAAAATTAAGTTATGTCCTTCTCCGAATATTATATTATATTATAAACCAATCTGTATTGCCTTTTCGAGTCTTATATATTTTTTATTTGCACTTACTTGTACGGCCGAACAAGTTTGCGTGGGTCGTCCGTTTTCACTTTGATTTCATACCCAGGAAAACTGTTCCGTAGATGCTCCATATCCAGGAAGGTGTCATTGAAGTCCAATGTTGGGATCTCGTTGGGCATCCTGTGTAAAAAGTTATAGTATTTAAATTTATTGCTTACATGGATTCAATCAACTAGTTCTTTAACAAGTAACTGGTGATTTAAACTAATCAAACATCACGAATAGAGTACTGATCAGTACTCTATTTCTCTATTATGATATTTTTTTTTGGAAATAATACAATAAAATATTTATATAATTATTATATATTATATATATATATTTAATTTAATTTTATCTGTTTAAAAATTGTCATAATATTATACACTGCTGTATCCGCTGACATTGATGCTCCTTTCCACTTTGGATTTGCTGGAAGAAAACTCTATCAGAGTTAAGCTCGCCTTTGTACTTTTGATTACCTCTGTGTTATTCTTAAAACTAGTGTGTACAATAAAGAATTAAATAAATTAATAGGTCAGAGTTGTTTGACGTGGTCAAAGTCGCTTTTATTTGTAAAACTTTTTACTGCACTTTTAACTTTTAATTCAAAGGGCGGTAAACATGATCTAAACGCGCTAATAAATAAATAATCTTATTGAATAATACATTATAAAAACTCTCTTGTTATCTTTCCTCTTACGTTTGACGTTAGACTGTTAACAGGGCTTATTTCGTGCTCCGTTTTGTTAATTGATTTAGAAAGTAATAAACGTTATTTCCTTATTAAATTATATATCACCGAGAAAATAGTGCTTTATTTTATCTAAATGAAATATTTGTTTTGCTAATTATATACTATTAATCAACAATTACAACTTTAAAATTTCAATAAATCGTATAGTGTATTTGTGTACCTTCAAGTTAACAACTATAAACATCGAGCGGGCCGGTCAGCACTGCGCGTGAGTGGTGACTCATTGCGCACAAAATGTTTGTATAACAATACTGCAATTAGAACTGGTTTTGCGAAGTGTTTTGTTAAGTTTAAATTTAATATTTTGTTTCGATTATGGATAAATGTTTGGCATGCAATATCGCTGTTGAGATAGGAGAGATGATCCGTTGCGACCCCTGTCAGGGAGCTTACCATTATAAATGTCTAAATATGGACTCAAACACTTATATGACTTTAACCAACAGCAGTAAAAATTGGAAATGTCCTACTTGTGTAAATGTTACGAAGCGAAAGGGCAGTAATATGAACACCCCTATACGTAAGCTTCATGCGCTTGATGATTCGGTTATGTCTTGTGATGATACAATAAACCAGAGTGTCTGTGCGTCTGAATACCTGAATTCCGAATCTATTACACTGAATCAGTTTAGCACTTTATTAGATTCTTAAATAAATTGAAACTGGAATTTTTCGCTGAGATTAAGGTGGCTGTAAAAATGGAAGTTAACTCGGCCCTTGCATCTTTAAAGGAGGAATTTACTTCTACTGCTGACCTTTTGAATCAGAGGCAGGATCAAATGAATTCGCACTTGTCTTCGATAGATGATAAAATTAGGGATTTGGATGAGCGAACACATAAAATTCAGTTGGATATTCGAGATCTAGATCGTCGACTAAAATCAAATGAGAAGGTATCACGCAGTATGAACATAGAAATTCAAGCTATACCAGAAAAACGAAACGAGAATGTTATCAACATATTTAAAAAGTTATGCGACAAAATAGGTCATTCGATAATGGACTCGAATATTTATGCTTGTCGCCGCATTGCTAAAATTAATAAGTCTGATAGACCGCGCAACTTGTTGGTAACTTTGCCTTGATCGCGCCATCGTGACACTATCTTGTCAGCAGTTAGAAGGTACAATAATGCTAATCCTACCGATACTTTGAATTCATCTCATTTAGGAGTAGTTGGCGAGAAAGTTAAGATATATGTAGTAGAACATGTATCACCTGAGTCCAAAAGTCTGCATGCTGCGGCAAGAAAAGCAGCAAAAGAAAAATCATATGCTTTTGTTTGGATCAAATTTGGTCAAGTTTATATGAGAAAAGACGAACAGTCACCTGCTATTTTAATCCGTACTGTTGATAACCTATCTAAACTTACTTAATTATTTTTATTTTCTTCACTTGTGTTTATATTTAAAAGATGTTAATTTATTATCAGAACGTTAACCGATTCAGGTCTAAAATTACTGAATTTCATCTGAATGTCCTGAATGATGAGTTTGATATTATATGTTTAACTGAGACTAATCTTAACTTAAGTGTGTGTAATGAGGAACTATTTGATGAGCGTTATTATGTTTTTCGTAGAGATCGTAGCGATTGCGTTGCTTCTAGGAAATCTGAAGGTGGTGGTGTTCTAATGGCAATAAAAAAGTCTTTGAGTGCTATTCGCAGACCTACGTGGGATAGCCCTTTTGAAGATATGTGGCTGACTGTGCTACCGTCAGCAGGCAAGCATTTACCTCTTAATATTTGTGTGTGTTATTTACCTCCTGATATGACTTTTAATAACGTTACTCTCTTCTTTGAACACTGTCAAAATATTATATTAGAAAAAGGTAATAATGAGCTGTTTTTGTTGTTAGGTGACTTTAACATACCTAATATATCATGGCGGAAAACTGATTCCTCTTTATGTCTTGAACCTTATAACGCAGTACATTGCCGATCATCTATCCTAATGGAAACCATGGCACTTTGTAATTTATCTCAATTTAATCATTTATTAAACGCTAATGGCAGATTGCTAGACTTAGTGCTTTTTAATAATAATAGTATTAATATTTTTAGCATCGATCCTTTAAGCAAATTAGATAGACATCATCCTGCTTTTATTGTAGATGTTGAATCTATTACCCTACCTTTAAGTGTGAAATATAACCCTGGCTCTTTTAAAACTAACTACTGGAAATGTGACTATAATAAAATTAAAAATGCTTTAAAATTAGTAGATTGGAATGATATTCTTTCTGGTTTGGATATTAATAGTGCTGTTGATAAATTTTACTGTAAACTTAGAGAGATAATTAATGTACATACTCCAAAGCGTAAGCCTAAGTCAAAAAACTATCCTGAATGGTTCAGTCTACATTTGATCAATTGCCTTAATGAGAAACAAAAATACCATCGACAATTCAAAAAGTATAAAAACCCCAGAGATTATGATACATTTGTTCTACTTCGTCGTAGAAGCAAAAAAATGATTGAAGAATGCTACAAGTCTTTTATTCTATCTATAGAGAACAGTTTAAAAGAAAATAATAAGATGTTTTGGAAATATGTGAACTGTAAAAAGTCAAGTAATAACATTCCACAATCGATGTCACACAAATCTAATGTTGCATTTGATGCGCAGGCAATTTGTGAATTGTTTTCTGAGTACTAAAGTACTAAAGATCATATACCGATTTAAAAATCGGTATATGATCAGCCGTTTGATAGTAACAACAACTTTAACAATGTCGTAACTCTGTCAACTATTAGCGAGATACATGTTAGCCGCAAAATATATTGAAAGCTATATTGAAACTCGATTCAAATAAGGGCGCTGGTCCTGATGATGTGCCTGCTAGGTTTATAAAGACATGCGCAGATGAATTAAGTGGTCCATTAGAAATATTATTTAATAAGTCTCTTAGCTCAGGCTGTTTTCCTGATTATTGGAAGACTAGTTTTATTATTCCTATTTATAAATCTGGTGATAAAACTAATTGTGAAAATTATCGTCCCATCAGTATACTTTCTTGTATAGCGAAATTGTTCGAATCTCTCATATATCCCTTTCTTTTTAACCATCTTAAACTACATATAACCCAGTTTCAACATGGTTTTGTATCAGGTCGTTCTACAGTTAGTAATCTTCTTGTGTATAAGTCCTATATATGTGATGCTTTTAATAAACGGCTTCAGGTTGATTCTGTGTACACTGATTTTTCAAAAGCTTTTGACAGGGTCAACCATTCATTACTTATTAAAAAATTGTCTGCGTATGGCATTCATGGTAACTTATTGCGATGGATTGAGTCTTACATCAGCAGACGGAGTCAGATGGTCGCTATTAGGGGTTTCACTTCTTCTCCAATTACAGTAACCTCCGGTGTACCACAAGGTTCACATTTGGGTCCACTGTTCTTTGTAATTTTTATTAATGACTTGGTCGACCACATCAATAGTAAGTGTTTACTGTACGCTGACGATTTGAAAATGTATCGTTCTATCTCGAATGTTAATGATTGTAAACAGCTACAACAAGATATTGACATTATACAGGAGTGGTGTATTAGGAATCATATGTTTGTGAATGTAGGCAAGTGTTTCGTTATTTCATTTTTTTCTAGGACTCCCAATCACTTGTTTAGTTACAGTATCGGCAACCACATACTTGAACATAAAGATATTGCCAAGGATCTAGGAGTTTTGTTTGACTCAAAGCTGACTTTTCGATCTCATTATCAATATATGATAAATAGATGTAACCAACTAACTGGTTTTATACTACGCATAACCAAGCAATTTAAAAATCCTCATAGTCCGTGTTTTCTATATTCTGCATTGGTTCGCCCTATAGTTGAATATGCATCAATAGTTTGGTCTCCTTACTATAAGGTACATCAAGATAATCTTGAGAGAGTACAAAAAAGATTTCTAAAATCAATTTCCTATAGGTATGGATTTAAAAGAAAATTTAGAGACTATGAAAATAGATTAAAATATTTTAAAATATTATCTTTAACTAAAAGAAGAAAAATAAAAGATTTACTGTACCTATATAAGATTATAAACTCAATTGTGGATTGTCCCCAACTGTTAGAACTAATTAATATTAATACGAATGGCCGAATTCGTCTTAAACGGACTTTCACTGTGCCTTTTTATAGAAACAATATTTCTCTAAATAACCCCATAGCCAATATGTGTAGATCGTATAATGACGCTCATCAAAGTGACCTTGACATATTTGGGCTCAGTTATTATCAATTTCGCAGACAATTATATAAAATAATGTAATATTTAGAAATCTCTTAAATAATTTTGTTTTGGTTTTTTTTATTTAACTTTCTTTATGTTTATGTTTATTTTTATGTTTAAATTTTTCACTAATAGTTGCAAC